TCACTCAGTGTGTAATAAGACTATGTTAACATAAAAGTTTAACTTTCTAAAAATCTGTAGAAACTATGGAACTATTTCATTTTAAAGCAAAAGTCAGAAAAATATCTCACCTACTAAAGGGTCCTGAATGCCTAAAGAAAATATGAAGGAGAGAAAAGAAGTGAAGGAAGCAAATACACAGCTTGAAAGTGAAGGAGGAAAATGAGCAGTTGACAGCGACAGGAAGCTGAATTAAAATACAGGAGGTGCGGTCGTCAACACGGTGGGGGATACAAACCTACGCTGGGCCGAAGCTGCTCCAGGAAGGCCTGTTTCTGCGGCGAGTGTGACGTGGTGAGCACCTTGACTCCATGGTAACAGGCCAGCTGGACGCACATGAGGCCGAAAGGCTTCACAATTACAGGAGATGAGACCGTTACTAAACCATACTGCCCCGACAATGCAGTTCATCCTCAGACTGACTGTACGTACGCTGGACCCGTCCATCACCAGGAGTGTGTGTCCAGCTGCCATGCGGGCGTGTGTGTGTAGGGCAGTGTAGGCACAGATGCCGTCACGCAGAGCTCCTGCCGCACACAAAGAGCTGAGCTTCTCTGGCTTTTGAACTGCAGAGAACAAACAAAAATATGCAGGTTTTACCAGGCTTAGCTAAGGTACTCACATCCTTTGAATATATTTTTTTTACATTTTCATATTAGGAATGTTCCATAACTAAGCATAATTTTTGTGGCTGAACATGAGAAAGCAAATCATTGTAAAGTGGAAGGAAAATAAAGTTAACACCAGATGCTTTATCAGTCCTGAGCTACTCTATGTGTGTAACATAGCAGCTATCATTAGGATTTGTAATTAGCTTACATCATACCGGTGTTATTTTGGTTATTGATTTTACCTTACAGGAGTACCAGACTGAAAAAACTAAATGTGGATTTTGAAATGCAGAATGGTATTTAACATGGTCATAAAGCTTTAACTATGTGAAAGTAATATCAGCTGATTGCCCTGTGTCATTTCATTTAATTTGTATTATTAATGTTATTTTAAACATGTACAGACATTTTAACTGGTTAGTTTGGTGTTTTTGGGGCCCTCTGATGGGCCTTGCACTGGCACTGCATGGTGATATACACACATACTCTTTCCAGTTTTGAATATTGGATTGAGATTTGTTCCTTGGTCTTCATAATTCTGTTCTCTAACAAACTTTTCAGGCTTTCACAGGATAGCTGGATTTATACAAAGATTAAATTGGACTCTATTTACCACTTTGGTAGCTTCTGAAAGCAAAGAATTTTAAATACGGCAGTAGTGATCACTACTAACTAAAGAGTTAAATTCCGCCAACCATACAAATTAAGTTGTACTAATCCTATAGGCATTTAGCGCTAGTGCAACAGTTCTGACAAACATGGTATTTTGTGAAAGCTGGGTTAAAACTATACCAGTGCAGTAATTAGCAGAAGAAAACCAGTCACTTTAGAATTTATTCAGAAAAAAATATTTAGGGGAAGTTTAGTGTGCGAAAGATTTTAAAAATTAGCAAAACTAACAAAATAATTTGCTTCACCTGTGCTACACATTGGCAGAAGTGAGCCAGAAGTGTCTGAGTGTCCTATTCCATACGCTTTTGATAATAATGCAGTAATTTATGTTGGTCTATCACATAAATTAAAAAAAAAAAAAAAAAAAAAGCACTGAAGGTTTTAGTTGTAATGTGACACAATGTGAAAAAGTTCAAAGCATGCCAATACCTTGCAAGGTACTGTTTTTATGACAAGCATTAGGATTCTTGGATGTCAATAACAAGCAGAATTTCTTTAATAGTAAATGTTTAATTTACCGACGTCTTTTCTCAGGTATTCTACCTGGAGGTGCTTGGGTTATAATATCTGATGTCTCAGACCAGATGGTCTTTTGACTCGAGGTGCTTTCAGTCAAACTGCCAGCTGAGCTTCACTTTAGATTTTAAAGTACCATAAATGCCAATGAAAGATGGCACTCATGGTGCCGTTTCATAACATCCATTTATCCCACCGCCTTTGAAAGCAGCCAAGAGAACAATCTGGCAATTCATGTATAAGCTGCCCTCCTCTGAGCCTGTGTTCTTCTGACTCCTTATAGCAGATTTAAAGTAAAAAAAATATTTAAAAAAAAATTCATTAGTGCATTTACCTATATAGTACTCATCTATGTCAATGACTTCACAGAGTCCAGAACAAGGTGAGTCCAGAGGAAGAACTCCTGGAGAATGAAAGGAGGAAAAATTATGACTAAAAAGTCAACAAAAACCACAACATTACATAGGAAACTAAAACCAAAATGTAAAATAGCCTATTTTGTTTTTAGAATAGAATATGTTTTATTGATCAGCATGGGAAAATTGCTTATCAGTTGACAAGCTACTTCATCCAAGGTGTTAAGTATTAATAATACAAATATATAAAAACTAAAGTATATAAGCTGAACATAAAAAAGATTTATGGAAAACTGAATCTTCAACAAGCAGAACTGGAGCCGCAGCAATCTTCTACAAAGGCATTACAAACATTCAGGTGACACAGAATCATTATGAATTAAAGTATTTAATTTCTTCAACTATTTATTGAAACGTTTACATAAACAAATGTTTTTTGTTTGTTTTTTGTTAGGTTTATTGGAGCTAAATGTGGGAGGAGTCAAATACTTGACAATTTCCATACAATCTGCTTTTAATTGCCTTTTAACCCAGTTAACTTCTGACCAAACTGCATTACTTTGAATTCAAATCAGTAGTGATGTACAATACTGCACATTTTAGATCTGATCCGATATGAAGTGAATAACATGGTTTTACTCCCATTTAATTACTTTTTTCAAAAAACCTTGGACAGATGATGGACAAAGTTTATAAACTGTGGATTTTTTCCTAAATAAAGAACAAAAAAATCATATGCTTTCATTTTTTCTTTTATTCCTCATCTAACTTTAACAGGCCAAGTTTCATCTGAAAGTTTCTCACCTACAACCTCGTCCTCTGGCTGAAAGAAGGTCACTTTGGGTCCAACTATGAGGGAAAAATAACACAGACTGAGCAGTTAAATTCATGGACAGAAAGCTCCCTCAGACCACAAATGTGTGTGTTTGTGTATAATATAAGATTTTCTCAGTAAGCATAGTTTGATACCTTGAAGGACGACACCTGCCACCTCTCTGCCAACAGGAATCAAATCCCTCTGGATCCCCACTTCCTGAATCAACTTGAGGAAGACAGGTAAGTTACTTTACTGCTCATTAATTCAGCCATTAACGAGCAAAGAGTAATTTAAAAAAACAAAAATGTAGAAAAACAAAAGTAATTTACATCTATTAGGTACCAAAGGAATACCAAGCAATGTCACTTACTTTTCATCTTCCTCCTAATTGATGAATTAAATCATTTCAAAACTGGTTTTTGTATTTGTTCCGCTAATCTATACTCAATATGAACATTTGTTTTTTGATTAGAAACATTTAAGTATGCATTAAAATGCATTCCTTGCTCTCAGCATGGGAAGCTATCTGGTTAGGAGGTGTGTGCATTTGGAGACAACAAACATTTATGAACAAGCAAGTTTCCACAAAACTTACAGTAGCTTCTCATCCAGTACTTTATAATTTATTTATTTATTTTTTTACCTTGAAGTCTAGAGGGCTGAGTCCACATGCTTTGACCTTCATTCTGACCTGATGGCTGCCTAAAACATCTGGGAGAGCCTGGAGAAAAACAGAAACATGCCAGTTAAAGATGCGTGTTGTGATCAGACAATAATAAGATGATATTGTAAAAATTACATCGGGGATTCTTATTTCTTCAGAATCCCTTCCTCTTTTAGTGATGCTCCAGCTGTACTGGGAGCAAAACAACCCACACCACAATTCTCCCACCACCAGGAACATCATTTAGGAGGAACAGGAACAACCAAAGCTTTTTAGTGCGCTGAGGTCTGCATTATTAATAGTGTATGAATTTAAAGCTCAACTCACCGTTTCCTGAATAACAAACTTGGGCTCAGCGCCGCCCTCTGCAGCTCTGCCGTATAAACCTTTCATGTCGCCCCGAATTTAATTCATGAACTGAAACGTCGATTTAAACCCTGCAGCTTTCTCTGAATCAAAAGCAGAAAACACAGACGCTGCTTTTCAGGTCCTGTTTGATTTGATCAGCTGATCTCTTCTTCTACTGCGGTGGCAAACTAAAGCAATGACAACTCCTCCCTCTACTGGAGAACGCAACAAGTACAATGTATTGATGCATTTTAAACTTCCAGGAACCTTTATTAAGCTATTAATAAACCTCAAAAATATTTCCCACAGTTTTCAAACTGTAGAACTATTTATTTTTATACATTTCAAACCTTTGCATCGTAAAGACAGACAATTTCCACCCCAGATTAATAACCACAAGTGACATTTGGCTGCAGATCATCATATGTCTGAATCAGAAGATGGACTAACTTCGACCACACCAGCTCAACATTATGAATATATTGGTATTCATCAGGCACAGGAAATCAAATGCAAACAATAACTGATCAATGGTGAATGCGACCAACGTGTTGTAATTGTCCAATTGTCTCCGCTTCTTATTCCAAGTGTCAGTTAATAAATTAGCGAATTTATACAGAATAATGTAATTCAACGTTTTCTGTATTACATTGTACGTCGTATGTACCACTACATGCATAAAAAAGGACATCGCAGCTAAAATAGAAATCAATCAACATTTTCGGTTTCTTATTAGGCCGAACCAAGCCTTTTTTTAAATTGTATTTTGTTTCCGTATCCATAAAATTATATTTTTCTGGGTTTTGTTTAGGAAACAACGGACTTAAGGAGCGCTTCTAATCCCCTTGTTTTACTATAATTATGTGGTTCAGGTGAAGGCAAGACTCTCGCGATATCGCTTAATACCTTCCAAAAACCAAAAATCGACGAAGTCTCGCGATATTTGCCTGGCGTTACCCCATTTTCCAGCTGTCCCTCACTCGGTTGGGATTTCTGAACCACGGGAGAAACACCGGAAAGGCTTTTGGTGATAAACCGCCGCATTTTGGGAGAATACGTCACAATTTATGGTGACACAGACACACAGAGAGTTACTTTGTAGAGCTTTTAAAGATGGAAGCTGAACTATGAGGTAAGTAGAGCCTGTAGAGAGTGGTTGATGTGAAAGAATGTCCCTCAGCGGGCTGAGCTTAGCCTACATGCTAATTCTACTGATAACGGTCGGTTGGCCAGTTTCTCGTTTACTACAAGGAGTAGTTTACTAGTTTAAACACTAAATTGTCATATTCGCTATTTTAGGCTGTGCTTGATATATATGTTACGACAAGAACAAGATTGTAAGGCGCTCACAATGATGGAATTAGCCACTATGCTAATGTAAAATCACTGCATCTCCTCTGTGACCCCCGGAACACTGACCGGAGTTACTGACGGCTAACCTCTGGCTCTGACCACGTTACCCTATTTAAGAGAGAAAATGTGTGGATTTTTTTCAGAAGATATTTTGTCTGTACTAATCCTCCGTTCCCAAACATAAATATTGATGTTAATCTCAGCTGTCAAATCCAATGAAGGCTCCGAAATCCTTCTTATAACCAAAAAAAGCTATTGTAGGGATTTAAGACCATTTGCGAATCGAACTGTATAGAAAAGAGGAAGCGAGAATCCGTTCTGGTGCTGTAAACGCTCTCCCCTCACAAGAGAGCTGGATCCACTCCCTTTAAACCTCACCGATGTGTATCTTCATCGGTTTATGGGGGATAGGAGGCTTACAAAGCGGAGTCCGTCAGAGCTGGTCTCCATGGTAACGCGGATGCTGACAGTTCTGTTGAAAGTTGGGGGGCAGGGTGACAGGGTCCCAATCAACTAGACTTGGGACAAAGCGTTTACAATGTGAAGCACTTCTTCACCACCGCATTGCTGTTGATATATTTTTTAAAAATTATTATTATTGCCACACAAAATTAGAAATGCACCGATTAGAACTTTGTAGGTCATTCCTCTTTCTCTTTAAGAATAATAATTTTAGAAGTTATAAGAGTAACTTTCAAAATATGTTCATACACATCCTGCTATGAGCAGGCATAATTATTTATATTAAGAGTAGAGGAAATGTCACTGTGTATGTGAGGAGTAGTTGCTACAATGGTTACTACTGTTTTGCAAAATGAAGAAAAAAAAAGTTCATTTCACACTCTCATCATCATTTTACTTTAACTATTATATGATTATAACAGCTTTTAGACTACATTTATAACACACTTGGCACCTTTATTAAAATTAAGTGAAAGGACATCAGATTTATATAGCACTTTCCAAAGACGCTTATTACATGTAAATCATCTTTATTATGTTTAATAAAGCATGAGGGGTCTCTGTGGAGATATTCCCAGAATTTCTGAACCGAGATTGAACTCCCCTGTTCATATAAGACCAGTTCATAAATAGGCTACTTATAAATCTTGGAGGAAAGTTAAGTGGATTTGAAGGTTGTTACTCATATTATCCATTCATTCTTAAAGCATCCTTAAAAGTCTTAAATTCATGTATCTGATATTAATGCCTTAAAATGTCTTAAAAATAATTGAAAAAATAAGTTTGCCTTAAATATGTTAACCACAAGTTTTGAGGACGAGTTAAGCCCATATAGTTAGGGCCAGAAATATTTGGACAGTAACACAATTTTTGTGAGTTGGGCTCTGCATGCCACCGCATTGGATTTGAAATGAAACCTCTACAACAGAATTCAAGTGCAGATTGTAACGTTTAATTTAAAGGGTTGAACAAAAATATGTGATAGAAAATGTAGGAATTGTACACATTTGTTTACAAACACTCCACATTTTAGGAGCTCAAAAATAATTGGACATATAAACATAACCCAAACAAAAAAGTTTTTTCTCAATATTTTGTTGCGAATCCTTTGGAGGCAATCACTGCCTTAAGTCTGGAACCCATGGACATCACCAAACGCTGGGTTTCCTCCTTCTTAATGCTTTGCCAGGCCTTTACACCCGCAGCCTTCAGGTCTTGCTTGTTAGTTGGTCTTTCCGTCTGAAGTCTGGATTTGAGCAAGTGAAATGCATGCTCAATTGGGTTAAGATCTGGTGATTGACTTGGCCATTGCAGAATATTCCACCTTTTTGCTCTCATGAACTCCTGGGTAGCTTTGGCTGTATGCTTGGGGTCATTATCTATCTGTACTGTGAAGCGCCTTCCGATCAACTTTGCAGCATTTGGCTGAATCTGGGCTGACAGTATATCCCGGTACACTTCAGAATTCATCCGGCTACTCTTGTCTGCTGTTATGTCATCAATAAACACAAGTGACCCAGTGCCATTGAAAGCCATGCATGCCCATGCCATCACGTTGCCTCCACCATGTTTTACAGAGGATGTGGTGTGCCTTGGATCATGTGCCGTTCCCTTTCTTCTCCAAACTTTTTTCTTCCCATCATTCTGGTCCAGGTTGATCTTTGTCTCATCTGTCCATAGAATACTTTTCCAGAACTGGGCTGGCTTCTTCAGGTGTTTTTGGGCAAATTTAACTCTGGCCTGTCTATTTTTGGAATTGATGAATGGTTTGCATCTACATGTGAACCCTTTGTATTTGCTTTCATGGAGTCTTCTCTTTACTGTTGACTTAGAGACAGATACACCTACTTCTCTGAGAGTGTTCTGGACCTCAGTTGATGTTGTGAACGGTTCTTCTTCACCAAAGAAAGTATGCGGCGATCATCCACCACTGTTGTCTTCCGTGGACGCCCAGGCCTTTTTGAGTTCCCAAGCTCACCAGTCAATTCCTTTTTCCTCAGAATGTACCAGACTGTTGATTTTGCTACTCCAAGCATGTCTGCTATCTCTCTGATGGATTTTTTCCTTTTTTTAAGCCTCAGGATGTTCTGCTTCACGTCAATTGAGAGCTCCTTTGACCGCATGTTGTCTGGTCACAGCAACAGCTTCCAAATGCAAAACCACACACCTCGAAACATCCCCAGACCTTTTAACTACTTACTTGATTACAGGTTAACGAGGGAAAGGCCTTTTGAGTTACTTGCAGCCTTTGGAGTCCATTGTCCAATTACTTTTGGTCCCTTGAAAAAGAGGAGGCTCTGCATTACAGAGCTATGATTCCTAAACCCTTTCTCCGATTTGGATGTGGAAACTCTCATATTGCAGCTGGGAGTGTGCACTTTCAGCCCATACTATATATAAATTGTATTTCTGAACATATTTTTGTCAACAGCTAAAATAACAAAACCTGTGTCACTGTCCAAATATTTCTGGCCCTAACTGTATATTTTATGAGGTTTAAATTTTTCTTGTGGGACTTTACTGCTATGCAAATTTTTAGTTAGATGTAAATGTATTCACTGTGTTTTGTTACTCAAGGTTGCTGTATCTACTGCTAACTATTTCTAATAGCTGGCTAGCTTTTTTTTACTCTTTTATGGGTCAGTACAAATTTATCACCAGTTGGCTGGCCGATGTTTGTCTCGACCATTGACTCACTACTGTTGGCAAACCCAATTGATTTATTTGTGGTTTTCTTTTGTACATTTCTGTTGCAATACACGTCTTAAATTTTTTCATGGTGATCTTACAAAATTTTAATGTTGACCTGGAGAAACTGTTATTGCCTTCACAATATCAGATTTTCCAAAATTGTTGTGATCCATCCATTTTCAGATAAATCACATAGAGTGCACTTCATCCAAGGTAAAGGAGCTCATATAATTATGATTAAAAGCAGCTTTAGGTTATCATCTTAGCAGTGTTGCAATATTGATATAAACTATCTTCACATCATGCACATCCTGGCTTAAAAGGGAACTTCATATAGCATGACTGGGAGTGCTTCACAGTGAGGTAGTTTCTTGCTTTTTAATCTGGTATTTTGTATTTTCCTCTGTATAAAGCTGAGAAAAATCCTTTGGCCAATACGGAAAAACTCTTTAAATAATGCCTTCCTAATTCTTGCTTAACTGAAGTTGTTCTGCAGTCATGGCAATTGCTCTTCTTTATCTTTTTGAAGTAGTTTTTACATTGTTCTCCTGAAATCTGTCTTCTTGTGGTTGCTTTGACTTCTCACTGATGGGCTTAAACCAACACTTATTGAATTTTAAGCCTTTTTTTTTTTTACATACATCCATGAATAAAACCTAAAACAATTGAAGTATCTTATTTTGTGATGTTAGCCATTTGGCTTGTTATTCTGTAACACATTCCATAATAAATGTGTTTTTCATGGAACTTGAAACGTCCACATTTGCTGATGATTTCTTACTTTAAATTTTTAAAGGAGAGAAAAATATCTGGAATTGCATAATTAGTTTTCACATTTCTTGAAGTTAGATTCAAATCAAAATTGTTTTGTAATAGAAAATTCTCACTTGAAATGATTCGATTTTAAAACAAATATATACGTTACTTGTTGCAAACAGAAATGCATGGTAAATCTCAATTTTCCCATGTAGACCTAAAAAAACCCCAGAGTTTTCTCTAATCACCATTTTGGTCTGAGTTTTCATAAATAATTGTTTTAATAATATCAAACTGAGTTTTCAAGTGGCTAGAAGGCCATATTACATAAAAAGATATTTGTTTTCAAAGATATTCTGCTATGTGTGAACTATGCCTGAGATTAAGCTGTTGTGCTTCTCTGTCATGGCTGCTGTCATGTCATTAGCCTAATGCTTGTGTTTGTCATTCGCCATTTGACGTCCAGTGTATTTCTTTTCCTTATCTTAATCTGCACACTTCCTTTGACTTTTCTTTTGGTTATTTCTGATCAAAAATGTCGTTTTGACGCCTGACAAGGAGTCATGAAAAGTGCTGGTAGTGCAAGTCTGGATCATGTACTTGCTCTTGTTTTTACTTCTTTTTTTGTTTGAAACAGTTACACCCTTACACCCTTCCTGTGGGGCTGAGGATGGGTGATGAAGCAGGTCCTGGGGTGGGTTGAACTGCTTTATGTTGTTATCTCAGAGCAATGGAGAATTGAGTGTGGTGATGCAGGTATTGATATACCAGCAATGTTAAAAATAAGACATATGTGTAAGAAACAGTTAACAAGTACATCCTGTGTAAGGTAATATATACCTTTTATGTTAATAACACATCAGCAATATTTGACCCCAAACCGCTTGCTGTTTTTCCTGTTCACTGATTTTTCAGATTGTCGCTCCTGCTTATTGGAAAGTTGTTTTTTAAGGAATTTCAGTTTAGTAGAGCAAGAAAACAGTTGTTTTGTTCCTAACTTGTCTAAATTCATTACAAATGAAGAATAATTGAGCGGAAAGAATATAAACAGGGAGAGAGAAAGGACAGTCATCTTCTGTGTACTGTTCTGACAACTGTGTATACACAACAGACCCACTACGCAGTAACATCCCTTTGCTCTAATTATACAGACTAATCCCACAAATACAAGGCGCTCAGGGGAAACAGAGCATTAGGCCTTCTAGTACACATGTGATACACCAACAAGAATGGTGTGCATTTTTTGATGTTGGGTCTAGGAATTCTAGTTATCAGTTGGGTTATGTATTGATAAAGTCAATTGATCTTGTCAATTATTTGATTAGCGGCCATTTTCTTAAAAAACTAATTTTGGGTGTGCTCTGGTGGCGTAGGGGATAGCGCGACCCACATTTGGGGGCCTTGAGTTCTCGACGGGTTTGACTCCCGGACCCAACGATATATGCCGCATATCTTCCCCCCTCTTCTGACCCCCTTCATGTCAGCATATAAGGGACACTAGAGCCTGCAAAAAGCCCCCTGGAGAGGAAAAAAAAAATTAGCAGCACATCGACTGAATGAATGCTGTTGAGGTGAAACTTAAGAGCTTAAGTGTTCATATTTCTAAACAGAACCACATAAAGTTGCTTTTTACATCCCAAATCAGACTCTGTTTGGACCATTTCTCTTCCCCATTCTGGTGGTGCGGCCATCTTTAATTATGTATCAATCTTTGGCTATGCTTAAGTATGACCAGCATCTCCCTCTTCTGGATGGTGGGGGAGATTTAATGTATGTTGCTTTATTAGCACTTCCATTTCATGTCTATTGAGCTTTAATAAGCGCCACAGACGCTGTTTTGGTTGCCCAGGCTTTTTAGGTCTCTGCACGACTACGCACATTATATCTGGCTGACTTTAAGTCGACAAAACATCTGATATGACGCAGTTTGATGCACTGTGTCACCGCAAATAAAATAAAAATAAAACTACGGACAATAAGGCAAGCGCAAAGGCTCTTCCATAGGCTGAACCAGTGGTCCACTAATGCACAGTCTGACCGAGAACTCAAACTTTATCAGCACACACACACACACACACACAGTCAGTGTGTTGTGACCTAAATGCAGACGCCACACATAATGCTTTGTTCACAAAGATATATCATCCTCATTGCACACTCAATGAACACCTCTAAATGCACAGCAATATTTGCAGTTCACACATTGAGCTTTGCTAGTAGAGTAAAAGTGGTGACTTTTAAACTTGGATCCGATTGATAGATTCTCCAAGAAACAGTCCTCTCAGGGGGTTAATATTTATGTCCATAAAAGTGAGCCAGTTTGAGTGAAAGGAGGCGTGTGCGATCTGTGCCAAGGTAAACTTCAGAGGTCAGTGGTGTGATTGGTGCTTGTTCCCTGTTCAATGCTTTACAGGGGAAACCCTGTAAAGCTTAAGATATATCTTGTGTTAAAGTTGACAGAGGTCTTAATATTAAGTTGACACATCGAAAAGGCACATAAATTTCTACATATAGTTCCTTAACACTGTATTAGAAGAATAAGCAGATAATATAATCAATTGGAACCAATTCTTCTCTGTAAGCTCTGTCAGATCAGATTGAAAGCATCTACTTATAGCAATTTTTAAGCATTTCTACAAATGGGCTTTGACTGGACCATGTTGGTGCATCAAAATACTTTGATGAAACTCATTTAATTGCGTCATCCTGCAGGAAGTTGAGACCTGATCCTTGTCTCAAGTCTTTTAGCCATCACCGTGTTTTTCTGTTCCCTTATTTTGCATATAGAGTTTGAACATAACTTTTTTTTACTTTTGTCTTCTGAAAGTAATTTTCATAAATACCTCAGCATCTTTTCTGCTGAGTAATTTCCGTTTCTTTCAGTTTTTCTACTGCTGCACAAGTAGAAAATGATCGCTCATGCTTTAGTCAGGTATTGCGTAAAAGTTGTTCCACAAAGAGCTCAGTTCAGTTCTTTGGAAAGAGATTTGGCTTGACTTCTCACTAGGTTTTGAAAACATTGTGAAATATAACAAACTTAACGATGTTTGGTAAATAAAGGCTTTGTGTGATTGGAGGATTACTCCTATCTCCAGTAAGGCGGTGGCCTATCATTGCTCAGTTGCTGAAAAAAAAGCAGGCGCTAATGTGACTGTGTGAGGTGGTCTGTATCTCTCTAATTCCTTTGGTTACTTTGTCCCGCCACTCGGATCGTAATGGGGAGCGTAAAGACACCCCTCTATTCACCCCGAAGAGGGCCAGAATAAACTGTCACCTTTTCTCCCACCCCGCCCCAAATGCCAAGCGAGTCCAGAAATGGCAATGAAATTGCTAGGATGAGAAGATATTCAAATGTTATATGGGATAGCCTTCCAAGTGACTTGTGATATTGCACACACTCATGTTGTCATGACGATTGTGCAACTCAAATTGCTCAATTAGATACCATTAGAAGCAAACTGATAATGTTGTCATTAGCTAAGTGTTGTTTTCCTTGTAAAACGCAATAAAAGCCGTGGCCTGTTGCAATGTTGCTGCTCTGCTTCGAGTGGAAGAAGGCAAGCCTGGATCCGATTAGCTCGTTAAACAGATGCACTGTAAGGGGTGAAGCATGGTTTCAGTTCAAAAATATTCAAGTCTCTAGTCTATGCTTCGTCCAACAGAAAGGCTCTATTGGACGAAGGTCCTCATGCCTTTCTGTCAGATGTAAATCATTCTGCATCTGTGAATGTGAATCAGAGTAGTTTCGAGTGTGAGCATCTATGAGGCAGTGTGGCATAAAAAGAGGGTTTCTGCTCTGTCAACACACATGCAAGATCACTAAAGAGAAATTCCCAACTGAAGCAGAAAAAAGACATCCGAGTGGAAAATGAACTCTACACTAATGCTGAAAAAAGGACTGAGTTTAAAAGCTGCATCAATCAGCACCTCATTCTGATGACTGACAGGTACTTTTTGGTACTTTTAACAGAATACTAACTATGTTAGTTACTGCACATGTGCAAATGTGAGCTAGTGGGCTGGTCTGACAGCCTAACGGTAGTTGTACAGCAGTTGATTTTTAGCCTTTCCTGAGGTAGATCAGATCGGGCAATAGGATCATATAAGATAACATAATTAAAGGAGTTTAATAATAATAATAATGATGTTATTTACAACATTTATTCATGGATATTTGTTGATTTTGATACATAGACTTATGCAAAAATTCCGGTTACCTCTCTGACATCTTTAAGCTGTATCAAAGACATTACCACACCTTCTACAGTTTAGAAATTACAATGATTTGAAATCTCAATACACTTTGACCATGCCTTGTACTAATGAATTGTTGAAATTGCATTTAAATTGGAAAAAAATGTTTTGTTGTTCTAGGCGTTGTGTATTTGCTGAAGACTGAGTGAACCATGGCACAGTTCCCGACTGCTTTCACAGGTCAGTATGTGTGTAAATATGACCCAGGGCATTGTAAGGGGGTATAAATGAGGAGTGAATTTTCAAAAATATGCTGAGAGAGTAATAGACTTCGCCATAGCTACTTGTAGTGTCATATTTCCTGAACTTCTGCCAGGTTCAGTCTTTCACTTTAGCTCAGAGAATCAGATTGGGACAAAAACAGACAGAGCAGTATTTCTAAACCTGTGTTTGATTTGTTCGACCATGAACAGAGTCACTGTTCATCTTTAAAAGGCATCTGAGTCGACTTAGAGTAAGAAAACCAGTGATGCTAAATTACATTGATATTTGAAGAAATAGTTCAAATGTTCTGGATGTAGAATGTGAACACAAGTTAGTTATTTCCATTTTTGTTTTCTAAAATTGACTCAACATGAACCTCTAAACGTGGGTCAAAAATGAAAAATTATACAGGAAGTTGGGATTTACGGGAAGCACTTAAAGTGGCTGAATCCTGGTGTATCTAATTTAATTTGCTGATGTATGGAACATTAAGACTAATAGTTAGGCTGGTCATTGAGGTGAAAACCTTCAACACCAGGTCTGTTGACACTGCTTCAAGGTCTTGTCTTTATTGTGCAGATCTGATTTTACTGAACTAGAACTGAAACTTCTGACTCACACATTTGTCACATTCCAGTCTTTTCTCTGGCATTGCCCTGCCCTCTCAGACTCTAATCGTGTGTGTGCCGTATGGGTGTGTTAGGACAAGACGTGTTTCTGATCACTCCGGATGAAAGAGCCAAACATGATCAGCAGTTTCATGGCCTCGCTCTGTCTGCTGGGGGTTACATAACAGGTAACAAACTGTCCGTCACATCCAGACGTCTTGAAGGTGTATTTGTGAGGTTAAATAAGACCGTAAAGAAGTTGTAAATCTCCTCTACTGATATTTCCCAGCTGATTTACAGAAATCATTTCATTTTTTTTCTTCTTTTGCTTGCTTTAGTTTCACATTTTCTTTCTGTTCACCCGTTAGGTGACCAGGCTAAAAACTTTTTCCTTCAGTCAGGGCTGCCCCCACCCATCCTGGCCCAAATATGGTGAGTCACAAAACCCAAAGGAAGCTCTTAGCTAACACTCTGACAGATAATCGCAAAATCAAATCGTCAATTTCTTGTTTCAAAGGCTGTTTAGAATAGGAGCTCTTAGTGTTAGCACTGTCACAGTTGTAATATTTAACAAACAATAGTATGTTTGAAAAATCATTCAGACCAGCCAGCAGCAATTTGCAAACACCTGGTGGAACTGGGCATCTGCAGGGCTCAATGTTGGAATTACTTCTCAGTGAAAGGCTTATTAAAAATTTAAAGGGTTAATAGAGGAGCCATGTTGTGATGACTTTCTGAAGGCGGAGTTTCAGAGACACAGACCCAACTTTAAGATATTAAATTATGAAGTCAAATTTGTTTTAAGTCATATTTGATAGCTTTTTTTATAACGAGTTAATGTAACGTACTTACTTGATTGTGCTACAATATGGCACCATATGCCTGAAAAAAACATAATGCTGCCCTTTTGAAAGATTCTGTAAGAGGTTAAAATATCTGAGTTTAGTAATTCAATCTTCAGTAACTTTTGCTTTATTTTTCTGCTGGATTTATTTACTCTGAATGGAGTGAATCTTTTCCATCCTTAAGCCTACTTAAAATCGCTAACCGATTTTAGCAAGCTGCTTAGCAGATTTCTTTTTTCTTTTTCTAGTTTGTCTTCTCCACCCCGAGTGGTAAGAGATTTCAAGTGTTATCATGTTTGTGTTCGAGTAATTGTGTTTCCTCTGAATGTGCAGGGCTTTGGCTGATATGAACAGCGATGGCCGAATGGATATCCACGAGTTCTCCATCGCCATGAAACTCATCAAACTGAAGCTCCAGGGTCACTCTCTGCCACCAACGCTTCCTCCCAGCATGAAGCAGCCGCCGCTCTCCTTACCCCCACAGGCCAGCTTTGGTGAGACACATATGGGAAGATTTTACTTTTTATAGTTTAACTCAACCCCAAACCAACATTATTTATTTGCAGATAAGCTGTATAAATTCAGTCTTTACTGTGCAAATTGTGAGATTTTAAAGTATAACTTGTTTGGCCTAAAATCATCCCTGCGCTGCCCTCTTTGGTTTGAAGAGTGTCTATTGCCGTTGAATTTTCCTGTTTGTTAAAAATGACAGTTTGGTCGATGTTTACTTCATACAGCCAATGTGTTACGGGAAAAAATTATGTCCAGCAGACGATGTTCACAAAATTTTTGCCTTTCATTGTTTGTATGTTTAGAGAGACAAAAATGTAAATTTACGTTTAGTAATAATCTTTTTCTCCTTCTGACCTTTGCTTTAACAAATACTGGTAAGAAATACTCTAACATTTATGTGTGAATTGTTTTTGTCATTAAAGTAATCACATGAGCTGCTGTGTTTTCTCCTAGGTATGCCCCCTATGGCACCCATTCCGACTCCCATCCCAGCCCCCCTCCCAGTTGTGCCCCCACTCCCTCTTCCTCCTCTTCCCGTTGGGGTGTCTCCTCCTCTCGTCTCTTCGGCTCCTCCGCCTCTGCCTCCACCTATTGCCAACGGAGCTCCTCCCACTGCTATGATGCCGCCCGTCTCAGGCTTCCCCCACTCAGGTAAAACAGAAGAAAGTTGTTTTTTTATTGTTTCATGCCTTTTATATTTTCATAAAAGGCATTCAATCTTTCATGTCTTAATGCCTTATACAACTGATTGCATGGCATTATCATCGGCAAACCAGTAAAAACTGATTAGCCAGTAATTGGCAAGAAACATGCAATCAGTTCACCGTAACTTATTTGAATTAATCAGAAATTGTGCAGAAAAACCTTGAAATTGCACTGCTTTAGCATTTTTGATTTCTTCCTAAAGTGGTGTGTTTTGAATTTTTTAAGTCACAGTTGCTCTCGGATTTCTTTCTCAGCTCCCTCTGTGAACAAGACCTCTTCGTTCAATCGTTCCAGCACCAAGCTGCAGAAGGGCTCATCATTTGATGCTGCAGGGTAGGCTCAGAGTCCATTACTTTCTTCTATTCAGGTTAATCTCAAAACATAGGGTTAACATTGAAAAGGTAATTTAGTTCAGTAATAAACAAACTTTTTATAGTGTATATTTCCAGCAGCACCTGAGTCCTACCTATACTTATCAAAGTACATTTAAAGTCTGCCATGCTACTCTGCATTGATGCAGTAATTTCTTCAAAAAAGAAAACTGACTAGTGCAGGGCATATTTTGTACATAGTTGGGACAACAGGGCAAAATTTCTGCCTAAAAAAGAAAATCTTTCATTCATTGGTTTTATGAAATAGAATTGTATTATTTTTCATGGGATTTAGTGTTTGCAACATTTGTAATTGAAAGAGCCATTTTGCACTCAAACCAGCTAAATAAAACCAGTGCAGAACCACAAATATTACATAATCATTAAAAAAAAGATATATCTTCATCTTCTTCCGCTTATCCGGGGACAGGATGCGGGGGTAGCGGCCTAAAAAGGGAGGCCCAGACTTCCTTCTGCCCAGGTACCTGGGCCAGCTCCTCCATGGGAATCTCAAGGTATTCCCAAGACAGACGAGAAACTTAGTCAGACAGACCGATACAGCGCCTGCTTCACTGCTGATGCGGCACCAATCTGGCAGTCTCCCTCATTCATGAACAAGACCCCGAAATACTTCAACTCCTTCACTTGGGGCAGGACATCCTCCCCGATGCGGAGAAGGCACTACCTTTTTCCGGCTCAGGACCATGACCTCGGCTTTGGAGGCACTGATCCTCAACCTGGCTGCTTCATACTCAGCTGCGGACAGCTCCAGTGAAAGCTGCAGCTTAGACCTGATGAAACCAATAGGACAACATCATATGCAAAAACAGAATCAGTGACAGAGTGCAGCCTTAGCGGAGTCCAACTCTTATTGGAAACGAGCCCGGCAATGCAGACCAGACTCTGACACTGGCCATACAGGGACCTAACAACCCGTATCAAAGGGCCTGGTACCCCATACTCCTCCTGGAGAACCCTGAGGGACACAGTTTTGTGGACTTCTCCAAGTCCACAAAACATATACTATATATATATATATATATATATATATATATATATATATATATATATATATATATATATATATATATATATATATATATATATATATATATAGGATACTATTTATATTAATATTGATTTATTGTCATAAAATAACTTTTCAATGGTATTTTAATGTATTGAGATGCACCTGTTGACATAAAAAGAAACAACACAGCTTAGTAATCATTACATCTTTCATGTTTTGATCTTCTCCCAGTACTCAGCCTCCCTCTGACTGGGCAGTTCCTCAGTCCTCCAGACTAAAGTACAGGCAGCTTTTTAACTCCCACGATAAGATGATGAGTGGATACCTCACCGGTGCGTCCACATACACGAACAGATTTTTATTGACATTTCAATGCCTTTCTCTGAACTACTGACATGGATTTGTAATTCAGGACCCCAGGCTCGCACTATTCTGATGCAATCCAGCCTTCCTCAGAGCCAGTTAGCCACCATCTGGTCAGTGCATTGAATTCAGCCATATATTAGCTAAAAGAAGAAGAGCAAACATGTGAAATTCAGTTGGATTATGATCTCCTTCAGGAGTCTGTCAGACATTGATCAGGATGGGAAGCTAACAGCAGAGGAGTTCATCTTGGCTATGCACCTCATAGACATGGCCATGTCAGGGTTACCACTGCCTCCAGTATTGCCAGCAGATTACCTCCCGCCAACCTTCAGGTATATATCCTACCGTTGTCGGTTTGGTGAACGGAATAAGAACAGCCAATCAGATGAACAAATGTGTGTGTTCGTGTGTGTGCGTGTGTGTGTGTGTGTGTCAAAGGCGTGTACGAAGTGACAGCGTCCAGTCAGACCAGAAGAGTGTCCCGGAGGAGATTGAGGAAGAGAACGAGAGCAACCAGGAGAAGAAACTACCAGGTGGAGTTTGTTCCATCCATACTATACTAGCTAGATTTCTAGTACGGTAGCAGAAATGCATTTATTATTTGCCTTAATAAATCTCTTAACTAATCTTTGAACCTTGCTCATTATAGGTAAAGTAACTTTACCTATAAAGTTTTCTACACAAACTACGTATTGATGCTCAAAACCTATCTGCATTAAAAAGTGCAAATATAAAGTTGTGTTTGCATTGACCATATTTTTTCATAATCATTTTTTGATATTTTGAAAATAAATTTGCTTTAGAAAATGTAGAAAAAAATCCCCAAATATTTTTACTTTAAAAATGTGCTGCTTTTTTTGGCCTTATCGTGGTTGGTTTGGGAAATTGCAATAAAAACACTTTTTTCACATCACACAATGTGTGAAACTAAACAACCGAACAAAAATTTGAATACCCCACAAGAAAGTACATTGCAAACAACTGCCTTCAGAAGTCATCTAATTATTAAATAGGTTCCACATGTGTGTAGTTTCATCTCAGTATAAGAAAGAAGAACAATCCATTATTGAAAGACAAAAGAAGACCTCCTTGTCCTGAATGTGCTATTTGGAATAGAACTTAACATTGCACACCATCCTAAAAATGCTGTTGCCAGAGTGACTCATGGTAGTAGCGATATCATCCTGTGGGAAGGTTTTTGAAGCAATTCAGTAGATGTCGACAGTTTTGAGAGCACTATATCTGTAGAAGTTTAATCCTCGACATTCCGGAAGTTTCTTCTCGCACAAAATTGTTATGGAAAGGTAAATAAATTTTTCTGCATTTCTGTTTATCTCTTAGCTGATTTCCTATTAATATTAAATCTAAACAAATCCTTTTTCGGTTCACATGTTTTCACTGTTTTTAGCCATTAACGGTGGTTATGTTTATATATTCCACCCCTCCACAGTGACATTTGAGGACAAGAAGAGGGAGAACTTCGAAAGAGGAAACCTGGAGCTGGAGAAAAGACGCCAGGCTCTCCAGGAGCAGCAAAGGAAAGAGCAGGAGCGGCTGGCAGCACTGGAGAGGGAGGAACAGGAGAGGAAGGTACGCTTATTTCTATATCATCTATAACACTTACAGAAGTTATCTACTTCTATAAACGTTTCAGTGGGAGTGACAAAGACAAAAAACCCTATTATCTGCTTGGTTACGTTTGTGTCTCGGTGCTTCAGGAGCGCGAGCGTCTGGAACAGGAGAGGAGGCGACAACAGGAGCTGGAGAAGCAGCTGGAGAGGCAACGAGAGCTGGAGAGGCAAAGAGAAGAAGAACGGCGCAAGGAGATAGAAAGGAGAGAGGTAAAGAGAGGAGGAGGGGCATTCTAGAGGTTTTGTATAAAGGATTGCAATACCTAGTCCTGGAAATCTTAGATTCAAAATGTGCAAAAACCTATTTCAAAATATGCGTAAGTTGTACGTCTTTGCCACTTCTATTTGCAAGTCTACCTCACATTGCATTAGGCGTCCACTCTGCCTCAAAAAATATTTTCATTTGTAAGAAAAAGCCAAGCTGCCTAGCAAACAATACTGGTAATTTAAGATGCAGAATTTTATGCACAAACCTGATTTTAAAAAAAAATATAAACTGATGCAATGCGATGCGGTATGAGACGCTGTCTTAAATAAATGTTTACACTTCCTCTTGTGAGTCACATAATGTAACCAGAATCTTTAGCCCATTTAAATAGAAAGTTAGTATCTGAATTGAAATCAGGAGACATTGAAATATTGGCACCTCTAGATTTCTACATTTGAAGTGAAGATGATGCACCTGTAATTATAGAACTCTCTACCACCTGTGTGGAATACGAATGCACTATGCTGGTATCTGTTTTCACTTCCAGAACCGATACCGGTATCTGAGGTTTAGTATTGGTTAATACTGATCCAGTGTAAAACAAGAAAGAAACTGAAGCTGACAAACAAAAGGTTGACTATATTGGTCTAAGATGTAAAAAAATAAACTGCAACAAACCTTTCAAATGGTTCAGAAAGTGCAATTAGGAATTCTAAATATAATATAAGATAAACAACAACATGATGTTGCTCAGAGTACAAGCCATAGAATTAGACTGAATGGATCTGCAGTATTGTATTCAACAAATTCTTAACAAATTAACATTTTCTTTTCAAAATTGAGACCGATACAGATGTTATGATCAAATCAGTGCATACTTAGCTTTGAATCTCTGTGTTTACTGTAAATAAGCTCAAACATCAACTTGCCTTGTTGCCTTTAATCACTGTTCTGTTATGGATCATATGTAGCTCTGTGTTGTGATTCTTTAGCACCTGTCTGTGTTCTAGGCAGCTAAGCGAGAACTGGAGCGTCAGCGTCAGTTGGAGTGGGAGCGCCAGCGTCGCCAGGAGCTCCTAACGCAAAGAAATCGAGAACAAGAAAGTATAGTGCTGCTCAAAGCTCGGAAGAAGACGCTGGAGTTTGAACTGGAGGCTCTGGTAATTCAAAATAATCTTTCACAAAACACACACTGCATACACACTTCGACTGGAAGCATCACAGGTCCTCCACTGTAGTTAGAGGGGCAGTGTTATATTAAATTAACTTTTATGAGCTTTACATCATGTTATGATGTTATTCCCTCATCAAAAACATACCTGGAGCATTACCTTGATTCTTTCATGCATTTTTGAGAAATCCTTTAATATTCATGACAACCATTCAGCTGTGTAAAATGCCTGGGTGGACATAACTCCGCCTTTGAGAAGCATATCTTTCTCACAGCTGCAGTTTCCAAGTTCCTGAAATTCACCTCACAGAGCACCTCTGACTTCTCCCACTCAGCTCCTTCAGACTAGCCAGCAGCAATTAGCCGACACCTGGTGTCATTTTGTGATAATTTCCTAAAGATGGAGTTTCTAAAAGAGACAGTGGCCCCAGGTGTTAATTTACAAAGTCAAATTTCTTTGACTTTTTTCCCCGACTGGATTAATAGAATAAATTGAACAATACATGTTTTTTTGTTCTCCAGAATGATAAGAAGAACCAGCTGGAAGGTAAACTGAAGGATGTTCGGTTTCGTCTTTCAACTCAGCGGAGAGAGATGGAGCAGACCAATCAGACGAGAGAGACGCGCATCGCGGAAATCACACAGCTTCAGCAGCAGCTTCAGGTAGTGTAGTTGATGTTAACATAAGTGTAGCTTTACGGACGAACCGCAAAATAATTTTCATATCATCCGGGTCTCAACAAATGAGTGGCGGAGCGCATCGCAGCGATACATGGCTGGTAGATGTTTCTGTTTGTGACTAAATGCTGTTGCTAATGTGGACACAAAAGCTGTAAATGTCTGGGTAAGGTGAGAGTTTATGTATTACATTGACTGAAGATTGAAACATAAACTAAAAGCTGGAGAATAGACCTTTTTTTTATAAGCGTGTTTGTGAGCCTTTCTCTTTATTATTAAATTGAATATAATTTCTGATTTGTGTATAACTTTTCTTTGGGTTAACAACTTTTCTAAAATCCAGAACTGTAATAGAAATGCTCAAATATGAAAAATTGGACTGAGGTTGACTGCTGTTAGATTTACCAATTTTCTACTTTATAATTTTTTTTTTTAATAAAAAAAATTTTATAATTTTTTTTTAATCAAATTATCAATCGTAACTCGATTAATCGTAAGAATAATCGATGGAATACTCGATTACTAAAATATGTGTGTGTATAACTTCCCTAGTTGTAAATTAAAGCAGATATGCATGTGTGTTAGTTTGTGGTTGATGTTTTTCTGTTGTATGCAGGACTCTCAACAGTGGCTGGGGAGGCTCATTCCTGACAAGCAGAATCTGAATGAGCAGTTAAAGCAGGTCCAGCAGAACAGTTTACACCGTGAGTCAAACATATACAGCAGAGTTTCTGTCTGGAAAAGCATGGAATTCAAGTGTTTTATCCAGAAAAATGAACAAGAACATCACTAGAGTTTGGCAATGTATGAGAAAATATTTTCTTTCTTTCTGTGTTTCTTTCTTTATGTCACGCTGTACGAAAGAAAGAGAGAAAGACAGAACTCTTTCATTTGCTTCTCCTTCTTTTTATTCCCTTTTTCTCCATTTCTTTCTCTCTTTAGTATTACTTTCTTTCTTCTTTGTTTTTTTCTTTCCTTTCTTTTTTTTCTTTCTTTGTTTGATTCTTTCTTTCCATCTTTCTAAATTTTCCCATGATGTTAGAAAAAGTTCTGAGCTCTGGAAACTCGTACTGTATCAGAGATGAAGAGGTTTGTTTTATAGCAGCAGCCAAGATTCTGATCATTTTTCCTGAATTTTATTGTTATTACTAAGAAACCAGGAGTTGTCCTACTGCCTGCGCTTACCTAACTAACATCATCTACTTTGTGTGTGTGTATGTTTAGGTGACAGCCTGTCATCGCTGCAGAAAGCCATTGAACAAAAGGAGAATAGCAGGCAGCAGCTGAAAGAGCAGTTGGATTCAGTGGAGAGAGAGACCAGAGCTAAACTGTTGGAAATAGACGCCTTCAACACACAACTAAAGGTAATGAAGCAATGCATTTATAGAGCACATCACAAGACAAAGAAAACATAGCTACAAAACATAAATATTTAACAAAGTTTACTGTTTGAGGGATAGGTTAAATAAATTGGAATGCAGCTTTAAGCTGGAATTGCTGAAGAAATCTCAGCTACAAAACCAAAACATGCCTTAGTGTAGAAAGTTCACAAAGTTGATAATGCAATAATGTTGTGTTTTAATCAAGATCAAATCCCACAAATAGGATTTCAACCCATATGAGTGAAACTGCTCAAATCAGTCTGCGCTCTTTAACAATATTAAAGACAGCTTGATCGGCATGGCTGATACTGGATAAATAAACTATTTAGAAAACACTAAATGGTGTTAATTTTAAAAGAATAACATCTATATAATATTGTCATAGATTATTCATGCTGTCCCAGAGATTTTCAAAATCCTTAGTAATGCATCAAAACAACAATTTTAAAGACCAGACATTAAAATTTTGATGATTGTCACTTTTGGTTTAATATTGGCTGATTTCATACTTAGGAGGAAAAATGTCTTTTACATAAAACAAGATAATGGTATATTCTCTGTTAAAGTTTATTCATAAACTCAGTTGTAGAGAGAGAAAATGAACCAATCAAATGCTTACTGACACTTTGCATTCCTAAATTAATTCTATTATGATGTCCATTCTTCATAGCATTCATCTCAAAGCTTAGTTGTACTTTGTTTATTGGTGAACTGAGCTTTGGTGCGTTTCTGTCCCTATCGATGTTGTACTGCTGCTCCTTCCACGTTTAATTGTTATGTTTTTGCCACCAGATTATGGAAGCAAACTGGGTATTTATAGACCGTGCCCGTTGTCACATTTTCTCCCGTTACAATGATAAACTTCACCATAAATTCTTTGGATTTGTGAGACAGACCATCATGAAGTAGTGCATAAATGTGAAGTGGAAGGAAAATATTGCTGCTACTAGTGACAGCAAGTTGAATTCTTTTTGTTGACTTCTGTAGATAGCTTTTCTGGCATGTTGGATCATTTATTTCCTTTGGGTTTGGAATGTTGTGCAGCTGAAAGGATTTTTGCCTCAGCATATCACATTAACAAATTTTTCTGGTCAATAAATTGTCCCAGAAATTATTGTGATAAAAGGTAATATTGTTATCTTGAGACCATTGTCAAGTAACATAAAGATAATGGCCCCAATAATGCTAGTTCGCCCTCTCAAAGACCAATAAACTTTGATGATAAGTGTAAAGAACGCCTAGCACTGGAACTGTAAGGTGTATTAAATATCCAAAATAAAACTAAGCAAACAAAAACAATAAATAAAAGTAACATGTAACTGAAAATGTAATTAAAATGAATTGTGAAGTCTTTGTAAACAAAATGATCTTTCAGAATATTAGCCCTATGAATGGAAATTGTTGAGCTGACTTTAATATCTTAATGTGATTGTTTATTGTGACAAGCTTATTTTTGTCTCTGTCTTTTTTTTCTGGTTTGTTTACTATTTCAAAACTTTTTTTTCTTTCAATTTAATGTTTTACAACAGGGTTCTGATTGTCATCCCAAAAACTAAAATCATACCTCTAATATTGAATATAATCTTTGTTGCCTGATATTGAGGTGTTAACATGTCATTGCAGTCATGAACTGTCTTCAGTCAGAGGCTGCAACAGGAGAACCTTCCAGCCCACATCACCACATCCACAATAACTAATTGAAGCTATTTGGGTGATATGAGTTACGACATTTAATTTAGATGTTTAGAAAAAATTTAAATTTTTGAATTGCATTTTTCTGCATCTTAAGAGGTTTCCTTCATATTTATGCAACATATTTACTGCATTTTCCTTCCGTTTCACAATAATATGCTGTTGGATGTCAATTTATCATTCATGAAGAAGTTTATGGGCACTGAAGAGTTGACCAGCAAAAGATTAGTTTTGTTCAGTATGAAGACTTCTTGAAATTTTTAAATTAATCTCAAAATGTATCTAAAAAAAACATGGAAAGTTCTCAAAGGCCACAAAAAGAAAGAGTGAATTTCCAAAAAAAGGGGGAGATTTCTAGTTCAGAATTTCCGCAAGTCGAAAATTTTCTGAATTTCAAAGATCTTAAAACTTTGCTAAATTTTAGCAAATTTTCAACTTTTGGAGCTCAGAAATCTCCCAATTTTTTCAAGAAACTTGCTCAGGTTAATCTCAAACTTTGATTTTTTGGAAGGGGGCAATTTTTTTTTTTTTTTTTTTTTGGTCTTCAAAAGCTCTAACACACCTTGATACTTCAGAGCCAGTTAGTCTTTATTTTATCTTATCTAGGTCCCTGGGAAAGGTCAGAGAGTGCAGACTCAATCTTGTTGTGTGTCATAGCCAGAAGCAGATGGGAACACTCAGGACCTGGAGGAAGGCAGAAGAGCAGCTACCATAGAGACAATAATAAACTAATTTTCTAACAACTAATCTAATCAACGTGGCTCAAGATTTATGTAGCGAAGCCAACATAACAGCAGCTTCAGTAGAAATAGAACAGAAAGTAATAAAGCAGTTCCTGGCCGCTCAAAGCACGTCCCAGTTGTGTAGTTCTTTACAGTAAGCGAGACAAACACCACTGAGGTGCGAACAATATTTGACTTTACTTCCCTCTACCCTCCCCTCCATACTGCCATAACTCCCTAAATCTTCCTTGGTCACTGCTGTGCCTCTATAACGACTGGGACTCTACATCTGCTCTGCTTCTGTACCTGTTTGTTTGTTGTTTTTATTTTTGCTCCTGGCTTGCTTTTATTTTGTTTCTGCTTCCTCAACCTGCATTCCTCCCATTCATTTTCTCCCTGATATCATTTGTTCAACCCACTTATTAAATCCCTCCTATATTTTCTACTCCTTTCATTTACCTCCCACACTGGCCTTTTGCTCCCATGCCAGTGTCTGTGTGAGTTCTATGCCAACCACTGTGCCAGGATAGAAGCCCTGCGACGCCAGCTCCACCGCCAAGAGAAAGGGAGACAGGTAGAGCACACTGCCACAGCTGGAATGGGGTGGTACTGCAGTTGGGATGGACTTAGTGGTTATGTAACTGGAGTTCTGCTGGTGCTCATCAGCTGACCACTAAGGTCAGTTTTTTGTGTTTGAGTTGGACATTTACCAGGTCACTAACCTATTTTTGATTTTAACAACCAAGAATCAGAACGCTGAAAGGCTTTTTGTGTGTTGATGGCTGAGATTAACCTATGTACACAGCACTAGCTGGGTTTGTGTTATAAATGTGTGCAAAACTTTGTCAGTAGTCCACTAATATCGAAGAAACACAGTTTTGTAATTGGGGTGTTTTCATAAAATATTAAATACTTGAATAAGTTTGTTCACCCAGTTCGTCGTTAAAAAAAAAAAAAAAGACATGCCATGCCATCATCCTTCTACCACTTCTATCATGTTGGATACAGCCGGAAAAGCACCTCATCCAAGTATAAAAACGTTTTTCATCAAACAACTAATGTTTTTAGTGTTTGTTTTTTGAAATTGGTGTGTTTCCATTAAAGCAAATTTATTTTTCAGAACTACAATTACAGTTATTTCTTTAATATTAGCAGAACTAATGTTTGATTAATGCTTCAGGATTGGCACAGCTAATGTTTTTAGATAGCACTGTTCATTACTGTTAATTGAACATCAAATAATCTTGAACTAGAGCTGAATGGAACAAACTTGGATGTGTATAAGATTTTGAGGCACACTAGTGAAAACATATTTTTTCACTAATTTTTACTTTGTTTTAAAAGAAACTTCTTTTTATATAAAAATTAGTTTTAGAATATGAGCAGCATTGTAGCACAAAATAAAATAAGCAGTGCCGGCATCTTGCTTGTTTGCATAACACTGATTAAAGCAACCTTTATTAATATGTGTTGCTCATCACAGTGAATCACAAACGTCCTCCTTTAAATGAGTCACCATCATAGCTTTAAAAAACAGCTGCCATTTGAAATAAATTAAGACTTTGAAGGCAAATATGAACAATTGTGGTTGAAGGAATTTTAAACCCTTAAAAGTCTTTTTGCCTTTCATATGTCTAATATTAAACACTTTATATAACAGGAGTATTTTTAACTTATTGGTTGCTAATACTAAAGTGTTCACAAAGAACACTTTGTGAACACTTTAGTAACAAACTGACAAAAAAGTTTACTTTCATTCACTTAATCACCAAATTATGAACAAAATTATTGAATCGCTGAGAGATTTATTTTCTGTGTTTGTGTGTATTGCCTTTTGTGCGTGTGTGTATGTTTCAGCACCAGGAGCAGGGACAACTGCAGGAATTAATATCAGCCGTCAGAGTTTGTCAGTTAGCCTTTGCTATAAAGGTCCATGAAACAACCCATCCTCTCCTAATAATCACCCTTTTTCTCTTTCTGTCCTCTCTTTGATCTCTTTCTATATCTGATTGCTTTTATTTGTTTTTTAAAATTCTTTGTCTTTCCCTCACATTGTGTTATTTAGCTATCTGCTTATTCAGTTAACTAGTTTTGTTCTTGTAGTTAACAATGAAGATACCAGACATTTTTACATAGTTTCCGATACAGATATTTTCTCATTCAGTATCAACTCCCCAAGATAACATAAGTCCTAATTTAAGCCTGAGATGTAGAAATGTCTGTTAATATTACTAAAACACTTATTTTACATATCAGGTAACTAGAAGTAGAAATAGAACCTATCCTGCAACATCCTAAGGTTTGCTGCAGCTCACTTCGCTCTTGTATATTATTTAGGATTGGAGTAGCTCGGATACTGTAGTTCTGATTTGTATTTTTTGTCAATTTTTGTTCATAAGTTTTATTATTTTTCAAATTGAGGCATTGCGTGTTTGGACTATTATTCCATCTGTTTTTGAGTAGTTTTGAGGCAGTTGTTATGATGGATAACTGTGGCAACAAGACGCTTTTACAACTGGAAGCAGCTGATTATCATCCCAAAGCTTGAAGCCCCAGAAGAGGTAGAAAAAAAAACATCTCTCAAATAATGACAGATGTTTTTCAAATCTCTAAACAGATTTAAAGAAGAACGGAGCGCTCAAAAAAAAACAGCAGCAGAGTGGAATGAGCAAAACCTGTTAAAGTGTCCTGTGTTAACCAGAATGACAAAGCGGCATGCTAACATAGAAATCTTAAAAGCCTCATACTGAAAATTGCTAACTATAACAATTATTTGCGTCATAAAAATTTTCTTACTGTTGTGTTGTTGTTGAAGCCTGCGCTGGTCTGCCAAGCTGAAAATTGTTCGATTGTGTCTCAGTTCATCTCTACCTATCACATTTTTTCTCATTCAGTATCGAATGACATTTTTATGGCGTTCTTTGCTATGCAAGGTTACTTTCCCGCACGTCACTGTTGTCCCCCCTTAACTATCATGGTTTCAACCTGATGGGAAGCTGGGAGAGTTGTGTTAGGTTTAAAAATAAACAGGTTTAATGTGAGCGAATGGCTGTGTGTGTGTGTGTGTCTATTCCCCAGCGTCTCTTTCCCTTCCTGTTCTAAGTTGTTTGGACTTTTCTGTCTCCTCAAAGTCATCTATCTCTTCTCTTATATTGGTTTGATTGCCCCTTCAAGTGTCCTCCTCACGTCGGGCGATTGGCTGGAACACGGAATCCACATTGCATTGTTTTAAGCAACAGAGTGGTTTCTAACGGCACAGATGGTTGTCATGGGTGCACAGGACTGCCCGTGTTTATCTCAGCGCACTCATCCCCTTTCCACCCTCTGTTAGCCTTCCTTTATTCATTCACTCCTTTTAACCCAGTATGTCAACACAAGAGAGTCCTTTGTGCAAGCTCCGCCTTCAGCAGCCACATTGCTTTGGGATTGGTAGCAGCAGTACCCATTCCAGTAAAAAAAAATAAATCTGAACTTTTTCCAATTTTTGTTAAATTACAGATTTAGGAAAGCTGATTGTATGAAGCACTGAAGTTGTAAAAAACGAACCGATATCTGAAAATATACTTTGTCTTTTTATTTTTTAAAGATCACTATTACTGTATACCAAATTTTGCTAGACAACAAACAAATTTTTCTGGATAACAAATGTTCCCAGTAATTATTGTGATCAATAATAAAGTTGTTTTGAGTCCATTCTCAAATGATATGATAATGGAATAATGATTCAAGTTTGCCCTCTTGAAGACCAATAAAGACTGATTTTGTAAACACTAACACTAGAACTGAAAGTTATTTCAAATATCCAAGAATCAACACAACGAAACAATAAATGAAACGGAAGTAAAAGCCACACACAACTGCATTACATTCAATTTAAATTCAAATTGCTTTTGACCCAAAGAGGAAATTAAATCACTAATTAAACCAAATGGATTATGATGTCTCTGTAAGCAAAATTACCCTCCAAAAAATGTTAGTTTAACAATTACCATTTTGTTGACTAATTTTAATTTATCAAGTTATGAATTGATGAAATGCTTATTCTCACTGGAATAGTTGGAAAAAAATGAGAAAGGAGATCAAGAAAAGATTTCTGCAGTTACAATTTTTCTGAAACTCCTCTACCATATTTTTTCACCACTAAAAGACATCACAAGGAATGAATCAAATGCAGATGAATCTAAAATTTCAACAGGTTTGGACAAAAAAAATTATAGCATTTTAGAAAGACAGTGGAAACGCTCCACCTCACTATGTATAGACAACAAAACATACATTGCTAGAAGACTGAAATGTATAAAACGGTTGCGATTTTGTTTTTAATAACATTTATTGAAAAAAAATAAACAATAATTTTTTATATCGATTCTTTGTTTCCTTTTGTTGGAAGCATGTCAAAACGTGCTGCTCCTTTTATTGGAAGGGGGCGGAGCTTGTCTTGATCACCCGACTAATGCAAAATGTGCTGCCGCTGCTGGTGTTGTTTAGTTGTGGACTGTAACCCGTAGCCACCGACCCTCTGACCCCACTTCGCCCTCATCGCTGTTCCTTTTCTGTACGCCACGATGCTTTGCAGGAACTGCGGGAGATCCACAGCCGGCAGCAGAGGCAGAAGCAGAAGGAGTTGGAGGGAGGCGCTCAGTCACTCTCTCAATCTTACATGCAAACGGCAATTGAAAGGAAGTCTGCCGAGCTGCAGGAGGGCGGGTGAGATGGGAAGAAATACTAAATGTTGGCGTTTTAATGTTTTTTTGGGGGGTAAATAATCTGACCTTCTTTGCACCTTATTCTTGCCAACATCCAGGTCATCGTCAAAGGAAGGAATGGCCTGGCGGGGAGAAACAGGAAGCTCTGCCCCTAAAGTTCCTAGCCCCGCCTCCGTGTCTGCCTCGCACGCCTGGCTAAACAGAGTGACTCAGGAGGAAGAGGACAGGAAGAGAAGAGGGATGGAGGAGGAAGACGAGGGCAGTAAAGGGGCTGGCTCAGTGGAAGAGAAGGATGTGGAGAGCAGAGGAAAGAAGGACATGCAGGAGAAACTGAACAAGCTGTTCAGCCAGCCATCCGACCCCTGGGCTTCAGCAGGTGGGTTACAGCTGCTGCTGACTGGGATCTTGATTCCAATATGCAATTGGAATCAAGTGGGAAGTGGTTCATCCAGTTGAAACCAGACTTTTACATACACTGAACAAAAAGATGCTTTCATCTTTATTTCTGTCTGAAGTTAAAACTGTCTCTCCTTAAGAATTACTGGGAAATGAGACTGACGTTTAAATTTAGTCCCAGCTTTAAATTATTGCACATTTTTTTATAATTTGAAGAAACATAACCTCCATCGGAGCACCTTAATGTGTCGACACAAGTGCCAGCACTTCTTTCTGTTTTGAGGTTTCTGGTTTTGTCTAGAAGTGCACTGTTTTCCATCCACTTCCAATAAAGCTGATCGCATTGTAAAGAAAAAAGGTCAATTATTTGAATTCTTTTCAATCCATTACTACTATTATTATTATTATTATTGTTATTATCATTATCGTCACAGTTCTGTTTACAGACACTCTCCGTGAGTGCCAGTTGGAGACATCCTCAAAGGAAGCGGATCCAAGTGGAAAACCATTTGGACCAATCCATTGATATAATCTGTATCAGAGGAAGGCCTCTAGCTCCCTCTGTTTCCATAAACTGTTTGCTCCCTCAGAATGTTAGAAATGTATTAATGTCTTCAAATTTAGAAGTTCGTATACAGATTTGATGACAGACTCTTCAAACAATAAAGGAAAACCCAGATGATGATCTCATGGCTTACTGTATGACGGGTTAACTCAGTGGCTCCCAACCCTGGATCACTGTCCAACACATTCACAGTGAAACATGACCTGTACTGACATAACCTGAAAGGCCACTCAGCAAAGAAGAAGTCATCTCTCCAAAAGAAACATAAAAAGGCAGATTGCAATTTGCAGATGGACTCTGGCTCAAAGATCTTCATTTTTGGAGATATTTACTGTGGTCTGATGAAGCTGAAGTGGAACTGTTTGGCAATAATGAGCAGCTTTGCATTTGGAGAAAAAACCAGGATACTCGTACCATCCTAACTCAAGCATGAGGGTGGCAGCATCAAGTAAAATCTCTGGTACGGATTGGTCTTCCAAATGGGCAATAACCCTGAGCACAAAGACAAAGTGGCTTAATGACCGCAAAGCCAATGTTTTGGTGTGGCCATTGCCAAAACATCTCAATCCTATGGAGACGTGGGAAGATCAGAAAAGGTTGGAATGAGTGCAAAAACGCCTACAAATCTGACTGTTACACCGTTTTTCTCAAGACCAAGTATCTCTGCCTAATGATGAAAAAGCTTTATGTAGTCTTACGTAGTAGTCTTACTTTATACTACTTTGATTATATTTTTAGCTGCATTGGCTGAAAAATACTCCCATCAACTTGCTTGTTTAGTGTTTTTTGCATTAAACAAAACATTGGAAACAATCATATTTATTTTCATTTGACCATAAAACAGAAGAGTAGTAGTCTTCTTTGTCTTTGCCCAGCTGAGCTTGAAAAAGGCCTAGTGGGCTTTTATGTATCTTGTTCTGAGAAGTGACACCTGTCTTGGTCTATGTCCATAGACTTAAACAGTGTCACCTTCAGCATGGTGCATTATGTGTATTGTTTTTTTGGTCACAAGCAGCCTTAGTTTGTTATATTTCTCGTTCTCTGATCTCTCTACAGTAGACAAGGCTCCTGTCCCAAGTCTGTTTGACCAGAAAGCTTCTGCCAGTGGCTTCGAGCAACAAAAACAGCAACAGGCAGTGAAGGTGGTCTACTACAGGGCTCTTTATCCATTTGATGCTCGTAGTCACGATGAGATCAGCATTCAGCCTGGTGATATCATCATGGTGCGTACTTTAACCCATTTACCTCAGCAAGAAGCTTTAGAGAGTGCTTTCGACACGTGTTCTGTTTCAGTTTCTTGGGCTTCCTCCTGCGGTGTGCTTGTGTGTGAAAGACGGGTTGCTTGTATTAACTTTTTCCTCTCTCCTCCGCTGTGCAAACTGAAGGTGAAGGGGGAATGGGTAAGTCCTTGCCCCTCGTCCCCCCAGCCCCGCCCAGTGCAATGTTATGTGCTTCCACCAATCACAAGCCAAAAACAAAAGAAAACGCTTGCTGCCATCGGTTCATCTCATGTCATCTAGATGTTTTTCCATTTACCAGTGGATGAGTGTAATTGACTTTGCTTTTCACAAAGTCATCACAGATAGATGTCTAGCGCCTGTGAAAAGTATTGAATATTTAAGCGTTTGATTTCTTTGACAAATCAATCAAAATCAATTGAATTTGGCTTTTCTTTTTTTTTTAAGACTAAAAGGTTTACAACATTCTTTTGGTAATTCAATCATTTTTTGTCATAAAAGTGAAATTTTGTTAACCGTAAATGATCTGTACAACTAAGAAAAAGAAAGAAAATATTCAAAGGGGTGAATACTTTTCATAGGCAGCCAAAATGCTGCCAGACCTCTTGAATTTTCATAACCTGTGTGAGCATCCTTTATACATGGAGCACTCCACAACTAAAAGAACTTGTAGTTATGTGTTTGTGTTTTAATAAATACGGTTGTGTCTTTTTTAAAGGGGCAGTATCGTGTAAAATTTACTTTTCTGAGTTTTGCATCATGTTATATTATTCTCTCATCAAAAATGAACCTGGAGTGTTACCTTAATTCTTCCACTCATGTTTGAGAAAAGTTGCTGTTTCCAACCTTCTAAGGAGCTTCAATCTGACAGAGCAGCCCTTCCTCACAGCTCTCCCACTCAGCTCCTTCAGACTAGCCAGCAGCAATTTGCAAAAACCTGGTGGTACACTCAGAGATGTGGGATCACTTTATAAACAGGCCATTAAATGCAAGTCTGATTCGGTAAATGAGAAAAAATCTGCTTACTGGAATTCTGCTCTGAGAAGCTGAACTGAAGATGTTTTATTATTTCTTCTCTTCAACTGTGAACCTGAGTTACAGCTAAGCCAGAGTGCCTGCAGGCCCTCTTGTTATTAAGGGTGGATTCACACCAGCCACATTTAGTCTGCTTTAATCCAATTCTAGTTTGTCTGGTTTTGTCTGGGGAGGTGTGAATGTGTAACTGAAGAGAGGACCAAAAAAAGCAAACTGGTCCACCCTAAAATTCTCGGTCTCGGTTTGATTAAAGCGAACTCTGGTGCGGTTCAAATGCATGTGAGAACGCCAAACAGACTGGAAGCTCCTTTTAAGCAGGAAACTCACTGTAGTGCAGGGCATTCTGGGTAAATGGAACCAAGAGCCAAATGCTAGAAAGAAAAATTGCAGAAACTGCAACTGCTAAAATCTGACACTACTCCATTTTTATTTTTATTTTGTGAAGAAGGAAGTTGTGTTCATGTCTTCTGAGTTTTTCCTGAGGCTTCCTTCACAAGTTCTTGGTGCAGCGCCCCCATAGGTGGCACTCAATTAGTCTGGATTGTTTGACAGCTCAGTGAATGTGAACCGCATCAGCTGAAAATGTAGCAAACGTTACAGATTTGGTTCCCAATCCAGCCGAGTCCACCAGACTGTCAGGTGTGAAAACACTCTTAAGAGTTTTGTCTAGAAACACAGCATCCTCCTAATTCTGCTAATACAAGAAATAGTTGCCGAACAACTATTTCATTGTAATTTGGTCAAGAAAGTTGCTGAATATAATGAAAATCTGGTGGAATATTTACTGCGCCTGACTTTTTCCCATCCATTTTTCAAGTATTTAATAACTTTGATCACTGTGACAGATGGTCTCTCTGGCAAAGCTTTGTTTTTGTTGTTCCTTGTCCCTGTGAAAAGTTGACAGTGGGATTTAGAGCTATCTCTGTGTCAGTAGACCTTTTTGTAATGTTGCCTCTGTGTTCTGATAGGTGGATGAGTCTCAAACTGGGGAGCCTGGGTGGCTGGGGGGTGAGCTGAGAGGCAGAACCGGTTGGTTCCCAGCTAATTATGCAGAGCGGATACCTGAAAGTGAAGCACCAATCAGCTTGCGGCCTCCGTCTTCGGCCACACCCCCGTCGACCCAGCAGCCAAGGGCCACTCCCCCTTCAGCCTCCGGACACACCTCCACCTCAACATCTTCTGCTAACAGCAACTGGGCCGACTTCAGCACCACGTAAGTCAGACTCATGCTACTTCCCGATTCCTATATATGCTGATAGTTTTCCGCTGTAGCCCGATCATGCGATTCCTTTGTGTCAGTTGGCCATCCAGCACAGCGAGCCAGTCGGACAGTGAGGGATGGGACGCCTGGCCTACCTCCTCAGCCAATCAGAATCCCTCTCTCAGCGTTCCATCGGCACAGTTACGGCAACGCTCCGCCTTCACGCCTGCCACAATGACGACAGGCTCCTCACCTTCTCCTGTACTAGGACAGGTGTGAGAAATAAGTCAGTCGCTATGCAAAGACAGATAATTGTAATATGTTGCAATCTCACATCGAACCTTTTTTCTGTTTTCTTTTTAGGGGGAGAAGGTGGAGGGACTTCAGGCCCAGGCCTTGTATCCTTGGAGAGCCAAGAAGGACAACCACCTCAACTTCAACAAAAATGAGGTAGCAGTCCATCTAGTGGTCGCTGTTCAATCCCGTGTTCACAATAACTAGTTATCTGAAGGACAGAAAAAAGTTTGTAGAAGACAGCAGAAAATCTACTGTACAGAATATTCGTTAAGAGTACCACAAGTATTGATCATTGGACCTCTACTTTTTCTTATTTATGTTAACAATATTAGTATACTTTCTAAATTTCTTAAGTGTATCTTATTTGTGAATTACAATCTTATTTTATTCAGGAGAAAATATTAAAATGCTATACATCAGTGGTGCCCGATTGATCATATGATCATAATCAGCCGATTTCTGTGAAAACGTTTGTGATCGGTGATTGCCGATCACTCTCTCTTATTGCCAATCACAAAAATTTATCACCTACATCTTAAACTTCGCACCCCTCAGAAGCCAGTGTGCAGCAACATATCTCTCCCTTTCCTTCACACGGCACAGGCGCACAGCAGAAAATTTTAAGCAATGTTGTGTGGAACTTTAGCGCTGTGACAGTGATGGAGTGAAATTTGCGTCTTGCAATGAAAAAATATCTGCAGGGTGACATGCATCAACACAATGAAGGTTAATGAATTAGTAAACAAAAATGCCTTCTATCCTCTGCATAATTCACTGAGTTCCATATCTGATGTATTATGTGGAAGTGTGGAGCAGTACCTCTAAAACATAAATAGATTAACCAAACGATATTTAGAACAGGTTTATACAAAGAAAAAGCAAATACAACTTAGAAGAAACTAAGATTCAGATGAACGATGATACATTTCAGTTAAAAGGGTCAGTTTAACCTTGGCAGTGAGCTAAAACAGTCTGAACCTCTTTCTGCTTTTAAAAGAAATGTGAAAATCATAATATTTCTTTTTGTTTTGTAACATGAAGTATTCATATTCATTGAATGAATGAAATAAAAAATGAAATGAACTATGGACTTGTGTATGAAGTTGTTGGTCTGAAAGTGGTAACACTGTTTTTGATGCAGATCATAACGGTGTTGGAGCAGCAGGACATGTGGTGGCTGGGTGAGCTTCAGAACGGACAAAGAGGCTGGTTCCCCAAAAGTTACGTCAAGCTCATCTCGGCCAACATGGCGATTCCCTCTGCTGCCGCTGCTGCTGCTGCAGTCCGCAGCAAAAACACTAAGTAAGTTTAGAGGAGCCTGTCACATCACAGTCCTCTCAGATTGGCAATATATCGATGACAATGAAATAATGTTTGATCCAATTCAGTGATGTCCAAAAAAGGGGAATCTTTATCTAAAATTCATGTTGTACTCCAAGGTTATACTTTTTTTTTTGTTTAAAAAAAACAACAAAGAAATCCCATCATAATCTGTTTTTACCACATTATGCATTCACACATGAAGAACATTCATACAGGTGGCCCCAGAAACTAGACATTAAAGTAATCGAATTAAATGATACTAAATCATGAACGACCTGCTGTGGCCTGAACACAGTCTCACAACTTCCACATGGACCTGAATCGTGTGGCAACTTGTGTTTAATCAAACATCTCAAGGTTTTTTTGATGTTGATTTGAACGCTGTATCTGCACTGTGCTGCAACAATGGAGACTGGAATTAGAAGAGCCACTTCAGCCAGTGTTTTGAAATCGAGGAACATTTCTCCAAGTGAAGAGTACTTTGCACTTCTGCACCAAGTGGTCAGGAGTGTGAATTGTAAGTGGTCAAAATCACAGAGGACCTTCAGATTTTTTGTCGCAGTTTTAAAAAGTTGTTAAAGACAGAAGATGTTGAGTGAACGCCACCTTAACCAGACTGAATCCGGCCGCATTTTGTTTTTGTCAGATCTGGAAGTGTTTGCTGAAATATGGAAAACTGTGATGGATCTTTGGAAATCAGCTTGTCAAGATGATAACATCCCATTCCTTATGTAGAAATTATTTTACATTCAAATGTTTACACATTTTGAATCATTTTGTTTTGTTTCCCCTCATGTCCCCTAGTGAAGCTGGAATATCAGAGAGTCCGCCCAATGGGAAACGACCCTCATCCTCTCCAGCAAAACCTTCTGAATCTGGAGAAGGTAACCTGATAAAAAACATTTACCATTTCCTGACTTTCTCTAGAGAGAGTGGTGACTTTTTCCTGCTGCTTTTCTCCAGAATATGTGGCCATGTACACCTATGAGAGCAGTGAACAGGGGGACCTTAGTTTCCAGCAAGGAGACATCGTTGTGGTGACCAGGAAAGAAGGGGATTGGTGGACAGGCATGGTGGGGGGAAAGACTGGAGTCTTTCCTTCCAACTACGTCAAACCACGTGACTCAGTGTCAGAGGTTGAAACCTTTGTTTCAGATTATTTAGTCTAGGCCAAAATTATAATTTGGGAGTATTTGCAGGATTTTATTTTATATATTTATTATTTTTAATTGTCGTTGATTTCCCTTTTTCAGTCCCTGGGACCAGCAGGGAAGACGGGAAGTCTGGGGAAGAAACCAGGTGAGCTTTTTTATTATTATTATTATTATTATTATTATTATTATTCATAACTGGACTCTGTTCTAATAAAACAGACTTGGCTTAGATTACTAAATTAAATCCAATCTATCGGTGTCATTTGTCCTCTGCTGGTGTCCACTTAATATTATAATTTGTTTCACATCTTTTAATCATTTAAATTAGAGCATTTGCAGAGTGCTTATTTCTGCTTTTAGTCAAACTGTAATATTCTTAAAGGTAAACAAAATCCCATCTTCTTCCTTCCTTTTCCCTCTTTTAGAGATCGCTCAGGTGATCGCTGCTTACACTGCAACGGGCGCAGAGCAGCTGACATTAGCACCGGGACAGCTCATCCTCATCAGGAAGAAGAATCCCGGGGGCTGGTGGGAGGGCGAGCTGCAGGTACACCATCACTGTCCAAACTGGACAAATGTTTGTCTTAACATGGTTAACATAAACATACAGCTGTATACATGGTGCCCGGACATCCTTAAAAGTCTCAATTCATTTATCTAAAATTAAGGCCATAAAATATCTTAAATTCATTAAAGTAAGGCCATATGACTTATTGTGAAAAGGTAACTTTTTAGGCAAATATCTACTTTTTGACATTTTATTTCAATTTTTAAGATTTAAAATAAAGATAAACATAAGCAGATGGTTCATTGCTTTTACAAAGCACACAGTTTCCACCCTAGTGATATTTGTGTCATTCCCTGTGGAATTTCAATGCAAATATTGCAGAAAATATTTTTATGAATTTTTTAAAAATCTGCATTTGTTCTTATCTCTGTATTTACAAACATTGGCCAGTTCCTTTAATTTTTTTAATCAAAATTACTACAAAATGTCCACACACTCTTAAAAATTATTCATGCATCTAGCAGTTAGGCCTTAAATGTATTAGATTGATTTTAAAAGAAATTGAAGTTGGTCTTGAATACGTTCATTACAGGTCTTAGATTGATGTATTTTAGATCAAGGCTTTAAAATGTCTTAAGTTAATTAAAATAAGGCAAGATAGCCTTAAATATGTTATTCACAGATCTTTAAATATATTTAAAGATCATATTCTATAGTTTTTTTATTTTTCTCATGTGTGTTTTCGGGCAATTGTTTGAGTTGTTTTTAATTGGCTTCTTCATTGCGTCAACAATGTTGAAGCTGCTGGTATCTTCAACATTTGTTCTGGTTTCTACAGTGGAAATGGAAGGAGAAGGAAAAACTAGCTAGCTAGCTAAAAATATGCAAGCGAGGTAGCTAGCTTTTTGTTTTTTAGCTTTTTTTTTAGTTTTTTGCATCTATCATGGTTTAAGTGCAAATGTATTGACAGGAGGATGTTCATTTTCACCATTGGATTACTTCGGTCGCCAATCCAACAATGCTATATTCATTCTGTGCCAAAAAGCTTGGCACTACGGTGTTTAAGGCTGTTTCTTTTGTACATTTCTGATGTGATTCAGGTCTTAAATTTAATTCATAACTGTCTTAATAAGGCCTTAAGAAATTAATCAAATTCAGAGTTTTACATTTGAAACCGACAAAACCTTATGTAAAGGTACACAATAATCACAGTTTGATAATTTGGTTTTACAGTCAGTTTGGTATGCTTTGATCAAGAAAAAGTATTGTGGGTGAAAAACATTAAAGTGCAGTGGTTTGAGTAAGTTGCTCTGAAGGATGTTCAAAATTAACTGCTTAGTGTTGGTGTTGAGCTGATATCTGCTGTCGTTCTCTGTTTCTCATGACGAAGGCTCGGGGGAAAAAGCGGCAGATTGGTTGGTTCCCAGCCAATTATGTGAAGCTTCTGAGTCCCAGCACCAGCAAGACCACTCCCACTGAGCCCACACCTCCTAAACTGGCTCCTGCCAGCACAGGTATGTACATCACACATTTACATCTGTTGTTGTGAACCTCACTCCTCATAGGTGGTTGAGGATACAGCTACCTAGCTGCTAATGTACCTTAGGTAGTTTTTTTTTTTTTATGTCAATCATGGTTAAATAAAAATTTATGGCCAATTGACATTTGTACATTTTTATGATGATACAGGTCTTAAATTTCATTAGTAATGGTATTAAAAAGGTCTTGAAATATCTTACAATTGAGTTGGTGAAACCTGAAAAGAACCTGTAGTCGTTGTGGAAGGTACAAAGAACCGCAGGTTTCAGATACCTGGGCTAGGATAGAAGTCAATAAAAATAAAGGTGAGTCTGGGCAGATAAAAGGAAAGAAATGCTTCAAGAAATGGGTTAGTCTGTTTTCTAAGTCATTTTTGGTTTGAGGTTTTGTGTTAAATAGAAAATGTTGATGTCTGGTGCATCTTTTCTGTCTTCGTGAAGCTCTATGTCAGGTGATCGGCATGTATGACTACGTGGCCCAGAACGATGACGAGCTGGCCTTCCAGAAGGGCCAGGTGATCAACGTGCTCAACAAGGACGACTGTGATTGGTGGAAAGGAGAACTTAACGGGAGGGAAGGCCTGTTTCCTAGCAACTACGTCAAACTGACGACAGACACAGACCCAAGCACGCAGTGTGAGTACGCACACACTACCTAGCGTGGATTCCACTGCCAGTATGCGCTAAGATGAGCAGACTAACGTTCTGTCGAAATCTATTTCGTGTAACACGAACACACTGACACACACATACACACACACCCAGAGCCAGGTGTGGAGATACTGTCCCTCTCTGTCAGTCTTTTTGACCCCGGGCTGGTTTCACCTTTCACCTTCACACTCCTTTGGACCTCTTTGATAATCTCCCCATCATGCACCACCTCTGGGTGGTGTCTGTGTGTGTTTGTATGCTGTGTATTTGCATGTAGATGTGTGTTAATTTGCATGCGTCAGTGCATAAGCACCTCTTTTTCCTTTCTGCATGTTTTCCTTCAGCATGGTCTACGTAAATGAAAGTTTCTACAGCGCAGCAGAAACATCACAATACAGTAAAAACCAAACAAAAAAGCTAATCATGGGGACTGGCAAATGCAAATTTGTTGACACCTTCTGTGGAATTTGTAGAAAAATAAATGAATCTTTTCTCATATTGAGTAATTCAGAGGATTTGAGCTTTAATTCATTCTGTAGGGAGCAAAAGAAAATCCCATGTTGGCAAGCATCATAGATCCCTCACCATTGCCCACACTTCATATAAAGGTGCTCCACCCTGTTCAATAAAAGCCCTATAATGACACTGCATTATAATAGATGAATTCCTTGGTAGCATAAACAGACTAATAAACGATGAAGATGCTTCTTTTTTGTAAAGCATAAAGCTCCATGCAACTTTGAAGATGTATTTTCAAATTTGTTCAGTTCCTGTTCAGATCATTTGGAAAGAAGTAGTACTGGCAAATTGATATGACAAAATTTTCTGCATTTTATACTCACTCTGAGCATAAAATGCAGAAATATATGCTGTATTTATATTTGGTTCTCCCGCCCATTCACTCATCTGACTCAACATCTTCACCTGGTTTGTAGTGACAGGTTTTGGTTCGTTAGGAGTTTTCTCTGTTTGAAAACAAACTGAACCACCAGACCAAAGTTACAAGTTAACATCATCCAATGATTTGGACCACTATGAGCAATATATAGTACATATATTTTAAACATGTTTTAGAAAACAATACCTCAACCAAAATTAATGAATGTATTTGTAATTTTTTTCTGGGGTTTTTCTATTGGGGAGGTGCCAACAAATATATTAGTATACTATCACAATCACAATGAGATGGATTCGTCTAATCTGATTTGTTGGTGCATCAATAAATCAGAACCACATTTTTTTAACTTTTGGAGGTCAGCAATCTGTCAGTGTATTTGAAACTGATATTATCTACCTCTGGAAAGGTCAGAAAATCAGTTTGCTTTTGCTCTGCTGTAAGAGTTGACTTGTGCGGTTAACAATAGTCACCCCACTGTTTCTAACTTAGCAACTTTTTACATGATTCCAAACAGTTTGTGCAAATAAACTGAAAAGTGCAGTGGGAAAAATAGGTTTGTTGTGAATGATTATTTTTAGTAATTGAGTAATTTATTGATTATTCTGACGATTTAGTGGAGTGATTGAATTTAAAGAATTGCTGAAAAAAAAGTATCAAGTATTACCATAACAGTAGTATTGGATATCAATAATGGCCCGAATTTTCATAATTGTCCATTCTTAACAATTACTTTTCTGTCCTTTAGAAAATTAATTTGTAATAACTAAATTCTACAAAAATCTAAAATCATATTGGATTTAATAGTAAAGCAGCAGTCTCACACAGATGGAACAGATGAACACACACTTTGCCCAGACATTTATGGCTTTTGTGTCTTTGTGCGCACCTGGATTTGGCTCCTTCGTCACACTCAGAAACAGCTACCATTTATGTACCGTCACTGTGCGCTCCCAAACACATTTATTGAGACCAGGCATCAACTACAGCACGGCCGCCTGCTGTGTTCAGTTTTTTTGCGCCACTTGTAAAAATAGAAAAGCTGTCATATTCCAATAAAATCCGAAATCTCTCCAGATACCCCGAATCAAACTTGAAAATTGGATGCTATGCTGCTAGCACTTAGCATTCATCATTCATCAACAATGTATTGGCGGAAGTCAGAACATTGCACTAGTCAAATAATCACTCGGCTGGAATATGATGTGTTAAATAGTAAAAAATATTTAACAAAGTTTCGAGCCAGATTATTTTCCTCAAGGAATTTTAATCAAACTTACTCGAATCATTTGAGGAATTGTTATTGCCCTATTGCAAAAGTATTCACCCCTCTTTTCTCTAAGTACAACCAAAGGTCTTCAGAAGTTTGCTGATGACTGCTAATGACTAAATAGCAGTCATTCCACCGGAGTGTAATCTAATCTGGGTACAAATTCAGCTGCTCTGCGACGAGAAAATCATTCATTAAAAAGAATAAAACCATATATTGTGTGTGAGCTGTCGCTTTTGATGCTCTGGTTTTGTCCCATGTCTCGGCGCACCTCCACTCTCTCTGTCTTGCTGCACGCTCCACCCACCTAGCACCCAACCAGACGTTGTTTTTGTTGTTGCTTCTTATTGTTGTTTGGTTTTTTGTTTGTTTTTGTTTTTTTTGTTTAGTTGTTTTTTTTGTTGATGTTGTTGTTGTCGTCCTCTCTCTAGGATCATATCATTACCCAGAACCCCCCTCTCCTCAAAGCCCTCAAAGAGACCCACTAGGCCACGCCCACTAGGCCACTCTACCAATGGGACAGCAGCGAGAGGTCACATGACCCGGACATGGCGCCTCTCCACCTGTAGAAGCCAGAGACAGGCAGACACACAGACAGACTGTAACGTTAAAAAAGCGAACACGCCCTGAACTCTTTGTCAATGCATGGTTCTGACTGGACTTGGCCAAACTCTCCAAACGGCACGCTTCGCCAGGAAGGGAGATCAGTAGTCAGCACTCCTCCTGCTCCTCCTCTTCCTTTCTTGCTTTTCATCTCTTTCTGGTTCATCTGGCTAGAGGTTTCGATTGGGAATGAAGGGAGAAGAGGAGGGGAACTTGTTGAGCTCCTCCCCTTTTTAAGATTGGACTAATGGACAGGTCTTTACTGGATCATAGTGACTGTATACACACACATGCATGCTCATTGTCACACACACATACATATACACACACACAGAGCCTTGTGCCAGCAGGGTGAAGTGGATAGTGGGTCATTTTGTGGCTTTATGGGAGGTTTAGTCATCAGTCATTCACTCAACTCATTCCTTTCTCTTTATTTTGTTTGTTTTGTTTTGATTCTGCTTCCATCGCTTTAGTCACATGTCAGTCAAAGGTGCTGGCTCCCCTCCCTCACTAACCCGTACCCCCTACCCATCCCACAGCTTCACAGAAAGACCCACTATCTGCTGGAGGACAAGTCTCAGAGTTAAACTGTCTCCTCTCCTCAATGCCAAAGATTCCCTTCCTCTTCTCTTGCCTCTTTCTTCTTTCCCTTCCCCACCCTGCTCAAAGGGAGACGAGAAGTACTGATGGCAGCAGACGGTTAAAGGGATAGTTGAATTCTGTTAAAATACTATAGACAGGTAATTCAAGTATGAATTAGGTAGTTGGCCCTGGAGGCTGAAAACAGGTTAATCTTATGAGCCTTTATGTGTTGTTTGCATTGAGTATTTATTTACACACAAACCGATTATACAAGAAACGGAGACCAAGCATGCTCTGAAAATGGAAAACATTTCGTGCTTAATGCAAAAGTAATTCATCTCGAAAATAATAAAATCATGTTTATTTAAACGTGTTGCACATATTTCCGCAGGTTACGGTTTGTTTCCACGGGAAGATCATTGGTGGCCCTCTCCCTCCTACCTTCTTTTTTGTGTGTAAATAGTCACTTGACTTTGTGTGAGCAACCATCCAAATTAAAAACGACCGACATAAAAGCTCATATTTTGGTCTTAACCTCTCTCGGACTAGCTGCAGGTTTCCAAAATCAACTAATCTGGATTTTTACTAAATTAAGACAAGTTATTTATTGCAAATAAAAGATTAAATTCTTGCCTGTCTTAGAAATTGCTGAACTATCCCCTTAAATCTTGCGCTGCAGTGCTGCTGGGTTTCTGACGGGAAAGAGGACGAGCAGCCGGAGTGGAGCTGAAGTTTCTCTGCAACCAAATTACACAAAACAACCTGATACACAGAACACAGTTACACACAACTCACAGCAGATATGTTTTAATGTGTAGAACCTTATCATTCTGACTGTGTATTGATTTCAAATGATCCATTAACGTTTGATGTTTTGTTTACATTATTATTGTTTTGTCTGTTGCTATGTTGATGGGAGACATTCACACAATAATGAGCTAGACCAAGATAAGGACACTGTGATGACATGCAGGTGGATTTAGTACTAAACCTTTTAGGGGTGCAGTGGTTGTGCAGCGTTTGCTTTCAGATGCCCAAGTCATTCCAGTGAAAGAAGTCATCTGACTTTTTAAGATTCTTACTCAAGTTATTGTGTTTGTACATAGGAATTCATCTTATTTCTAGGGTTTTGTTTGTTGTAGGAGTGGACATTGTTCCTTTTGCCCTTGTTAAACCAAGTAGCACATCTGACTTAATATTAATGTTAATATTAACCCACACACATGCATAGTGTCACAGTTATATTTATTGTGTTTTTCAGTTTCGTTTTTCACTTGTTGAAAAGGTGTCAACCCCATTTTCTTAAAAAAAAAAAGAAGAAGAAGCCAAACTGCTTTGGACTATTGTTCCATACCAAGCAGGTGCTGTTTTATGCTTGGTAAAATACGTTTTCTCAACTTTGAGCTCCTTTTGCATCGTATGCAAACATCATTTAGCCATGCACAATCATTTCACCCCTCTAAGATTTTAAAGAAACAGTATTACTAAAACATCAATGACACACAAGCTTGAAAAAAACACTTTTTCCAGTAGAGATGCACCAATCAGAGATTTATGGTCTGTTTCCTACATCTGACTTTCTACTGATTGTAGACTTTTCCAATTCCTCTTTAAGAACTATATTTATTATGTTTTGCTGACATGGGCGATCAGTACTTATGGTACAAGTGGCAAATGCAACATCATGCTGTGTGAGGGAGACCAGTAGTTGTAAAACAGGGTTTTACTTTCTTATTAACATGGTTGGAATTAACTCTAAAATTTCCTGAGAAATCTAGTATCTTGCATGAACCATATGTTTTTTTGTTTTTTTTTACCAGTTTGATAGAACTTCCCAAAGTCAGGAGTGACTTGACTTCCTGAGTCAGATTGCACTTTTTTGTATCTGAAAAAGTTGATATAACACAAACAAGTACCAACATGGGAAACAGGTGAAAGAGTGACATACTCAAAACCTCAAAGTTGTGATTTCCTTTAATTAAAAGCAGTTTTATGATTTCACATTAAAACATTTCACAAGATCTGAAACTTAGTCATCTTCTCTCATTAACAACTTCCACACCAAAGGTTGTGGAAGTTGTTAATGACAACCTGGGAGCTTTTAGAAGGTCTATTCACTAATTGTCTATATAAAAATTGGAACTTTGAGTTTGCAACCAGTCGACCAACTGATCACTTGACCTGCTGAAAATCAGCCATTTCCATTCAGTCCCATTCAGTTCTATTCAGTTCTATTCGGTTCCATTCACGGGCAGATTTCTCGGTGCATCTCCACAATGAAATCAGTTTGTTCCAAGCAGATAATTTTTCCCACACCTCATTCCATCCTGAAAGCATCACGTTTTAGTGTCATTTTGCTGAATCAGCCAGTGCACAGGGAGACAGCACTGCCTCGCTTTTACTTGAGACAGATTACAGTGTATTACCCGTTACAGTCGAGACGTGAACCTTTTTGTTTAGTTTTTTTTTTTACATAGCAACAGACTAGTGTTAGAGGGACTGCCATATCTTGTTTGTATTAGGGTTATTTGTTGTTGTTTATTCATATGACAGTATTGTGATTTTAATGTTTACCCTCAGAAACACAAATGAATGAAATGATTATTGAAATACATTTTTATACAGGAAGCAATAATCTATTAGCATGATGAGCCTTATTGAATCTCATTGGTTCCTCATGGAGTCAGTATTGAAAGTCAAGCTCTCTGATTGGACGATGAGTTAAGGTCATTGGGGGTTTAGCAAACTGGACTTGTTTGTTTTGGTAACTTGTCTAATTTACATTCACCTTTTTTATTTTATTTTATTTTATTTTATTTTATTTGTTTACTGATGATCAAAGTTTGACAGACAGAGTTTATGAGTTTAGAGAAAGAAGCCAACTAAACCAGAGCCGCGCCATGTGCCACGCCCCTCCACACCGGTTTGGTTCAGGATATGATGGCTAAAGTCAATTGTGTCCCAACCTCTGCAGTTACTTTTGTCTCCATTACGATTTATCTAAATCATTCTAAAATTTTAAATAATACAGGTCAAAAAGGTTTGAATTTATACGCGCAGTTCTTTATTCAAAGAGTAAACTTTTATGATGTGTCAAACTGGTTTTATTGGAAGAAAAACCTTAGCTAAACTCTGAGTTACAGTGTGACTCTGGTTTAGTCTGCTTAGTTAAAAATATAAATAAATAAGATCTTTTTGATTCATAATTAATAAACTGTAAAGCAATATCCTTTATGTGGATAAGGGTAGCTAAACTGACGGTTAAAGAAAGTCAAATGTAATTGTAAAGGTGGCAGTGAGTGCATGTACGAATGAATGTGTGATTGAAAAATAATGCATAAATGAGCAGTTTTTATGGAAACCAATAAAAGTGGTGGAAACAGGAAACTTGAATGAGTGAACAAAGTGTACAGAATGATGGTGTTTATTGAATTGTTTTTATGAGTGGAGGTCTTCATGAAACAGTGAAGCCTGCTTGTTTTGATGATTAAATACTATAAGATGGAATGCAGACAACTGGCCTTCGTATTCACATTATTATGCATGTTTTTAAAATAGGCAGTTAGTGTAATAAATTGACCTAACTTGTTAAAACTCGACAAAATATTCAACAAGATACTTCTCATATTGAGAACTGAATAATAAAATAAGCAATACTGCTTGTCTCTACGGTGTATTCCAAAACTATTCAATCCCTTTGCTTAGAATCATAAACCAATCTGAAGCTAAATTAGGAACTTTAGTTCATTTCGTATACAGTCAAACCAAAAACTATCCATACCTCTGGTAAAAGTAAAATTCAGGTAATCTTTGTTGAACCAACAAACTTGTTTTTAACTGGGTATAACTGAGTTTCTAACCGAGGTGGGAGTCTCTCAAAATGTAGTCAATTTTCTTCATACAGAGCCAGTTCACAGCAGATGGCATCTCTGTAAAAAGTACTTAGTTCAGTCATACACATTCGGGCTGAAACTAACAATTATTTTAATAATTGATTATTCTATCGACTATTCCGAGTATTAATCAAATAAAAATGAATTCATCACTAAATTAGTTGACAATTACTTCAGTAATCAATAAATCACAATTAGTCATTTCAGCTGTTCTACATATAATCCACTTTCATCTTATTTCTCAAATATTAATGTAAAGTTCAGTTCATAATGCAAAAACCTGAGGAAACAGAAGACTGCATATTAGCAATCCCCTCTGCAGGTATGCATGTCCTTAAAGATCAGATCATAAATCAAAGCAAATATTTCAAAGGGAAAATTATTATTAGCTTTATAGCAAATAAAACTAATTAAATCTTATTCCTTTTGTCATGTTTCCTCTGTTGCTTTGACAATAACCTTAAAATTCTTAACTAGAACTGCACAATATTAGGAAAAGATCTGTGAATATCTGTGAATTTTGCAATAGTGACATGACTTGTGATAAATAAACAATTATGAACCCATTTCTGACTTTTTGCTTTTGGTTTCTAACAAACATAGTTCCCAGCTAATAATATTCAATCTTTCCATCTAAGCAATAATGTTTTATTGAAAAAGTTGCACCAGCTGTGTCTAAGGAGATGGTCTAAACAGAAACATCTGTCTTTTTTATGTAAAAGCTGCTTGTGTCCATGTAGTTGTCTGAAGGGCAGCGCATTCTGTGCCTTTTTATCTGGCTGAATCGCTCCAGCTCAGCGCAGCAGCTCCCTTCAATTATAAGTCATCCACCATTCTACACACAGCAGTGCAGACCGTCCTTATTGCAGAACAAAACTCCATTGTTGTAAACATAGTGAATAGAGCTTCATATTGACAGTCTCATTTGACTGAGATGCCACTGCAGTATCTGTGTGTTGATCTCAGGTATGTATGACCTAAAACAGTTTCTTTTTTTAATGTTTAGTGTTTCTAGCGTCGTTTCTGCTGAGAAAAGCCAGGGTGACGGTGGTGTGGTGTTCTCTTTTTTTTTTTTTTTTTTGGTGACATTTGACCTTCAGGGTGCGCTGACCTCCACCTGCTGGACATGCTGAGTCCGATGGAGAGGAAGAGACAGGGCTACATCCACGAGCTGATCGTCACAGAGGAGAACTACGTCAACGATCTGCAGCTGGTCACCGAGGTAACCGCAGCAGGTCACCTGCAACAACACTGTGTTTTCACCTTTTAATGTACGGCCTTGAAGATTCAAAGAGGCAACTATAAAATAGCTTTATAGTTGCCTCAACTCAGAGATTAAAGTTCATCAAATTAATTTAACAAGAGATGAGTACCAACAGCTCATCCATCTTTAACGGTGGGTTGCTGTAATTTAATACTGCAATTTAAACCAAATAATTATTTCACATTATGCAACAAAACTGCCTATATGTTGAACAAGAACACAATTCTGTTATTTTCACTCACATTATCCGGTTCATATTGCTGCAATTTAGAAGAATTCAAATTGTTGCACGAACAAAATACCTGATCTTATAATTCATTTTGTTTGACATCGCACTGAATTCTGCTCAGTTTAAGAAAGCATCGTCTTCAATCGTAGCAATCTGAAAGCCTAGCTGAGTAAGCAATAAATAAATTCATTACATGATTAAAATGATCGATTAAAATGAGCTCAATAATTTCCATTTAGACAGCTGTTAGAAATACTTCAATTTAATATTAGAAAGTCAGAATTTTGAGAAACACTGCAAACGTTTGATACTCAGCATAAAGCAGTGTTCAGACATTTGCTATAAATTGATATCAAATGCCATAAAACAACAGTTGAAATCTGCTTTGCACTAAACGTCACTTCTTCTCTCTTGGTGTAGATCTTCCATAAGCCTCTGCTGGAGTGTGAGCTGCTGACAGAGAAGGAAGTGGCCATGATCTTTGTGAACTGGAAGGAGCTCATCATGTGCAACATCAAACTTCTCAAGTGAGAGGAAAAAAAATCTATAATAAACGTAATTAAACAGAGGTTTAGAGAAAAGCCTCTTGTAGTTTCTACAGATGTGCTGACTCAGGGTTTTCTTGCAGGGCTCTCAGGGTGAGGAAGAAGATGTCGGGCGATCGGATGCCTGTGAAGATGATTGGCGACATCCTGACCAACCAGCTGCCCCACATGCAGCCGTACATCAGGTTAGGAAGTGGATCGCTTTCCGTCTGTAGGAGTTTTTGTCTTGCTTCTTGTAGTGGAGCAGCCATCTTGTTTTTTTTGCAGGTTCTGTTCATGTCAGCTGAACGGGGCCACACTGATTCAACAGAAGACAGATGACAATCCTGAGATCAAAGACTTCCTCAAGGTTAGAACTCTGATCACTTCCTGAAGGTGGAGTTTCAGAAAGATTTCCAGGCGTTAGATTATATAGTGAAATTTCTTTTAACTCATATTTGATATAAAAACCAATTTTTAACAACTGAATTTAACATAGTTACTTGATTGTTCTATAAAATGTCACTGAGTCTGGAAAACACAGCACTGCCCCTTTCTGCTGCCTGTTGCTCAAAGAATTGAATTTAAAATGACCTTAATACTTTATAAAGCTCTTCATAATAAAAACCCAGACTACATTTCTGATCTTCTACAACCGTATACACCACTTACACCTTTAAGATCATCAGAATCAAAACTATTAGCTATTTCAAGCGTCAGAACTAAACATGGTAAACCAACTTTTAGTTTTTATGCTCCAACACTCTGGAATAAGCTTCCTGCTCACTGTAAGACTGACCCTACCTACCCTGAGCTTATTTAAAACCAGGTTAAAGACCTTCTGCGTTCAAGTTGCCAAATCTTACATTTTTAATCCTGAATGTTTACTTTGTCTATTTTTAATCTGCTTGATCTTTTGTTATTATTGTTATTACTATTTTTATTTTATTATTATTTTTTTAATTGCTGTCTTCTTGTTTTATGTTGTTTTTAATTCTCTTGTACAAGCACTTTGAATTGTCTTTAGCTGAAAGGTGCAATATAAATAAAGTTGCTTTGCCTTTAAACATGAAATAACTTTAAATTTGTCTTAAAAACGTTTTTGTGGGGGAAATTGCAACTAAAACAATGAATTTTGATGTTTTGTGTTTCCATCAGAGATTAGCCATGGATCCCAGGTGCAAAGGGATGCCTCTGTCCAGTTTTCTACTCAAGCCGATGCAGAGAGTCACACGCTACCCTCTCATCATCAAAAATGTTTGTACCATTAGAGCACATAAAATTCTCATGAAAATTCAGAATTTGCAAGGACTTTTTGCTTCCGCCTTCTAATCCGAGTCTGAATAGTTTTGAACGGTTTCTGATTGCAGATCTTAGAAAACACTCCAGAGTCTCATCCAGACCACAGCCATCTGAAAGCAGCGCTGGAGAAAGCAGAGGAGCTCTGCTCACAGGTGAAAACTGGAAACACACACCCAGGCACCGGACCGGAAAATCAGTTATGACTGGATTTATCACTTAATTTTGGACATATATGCTTTTGAATTATGATGAAGTTGTAGTTTGTAACAGTTTCATATGTATAAAAGATAAAAGTGTCTGGAAAGTAAACACAAGGCAGACAAAAGGTGCCAAAAAGTGACATTAAATACAGAATACCCAATATCAAAGATTCATAAGGTGGCCACTCAAGGAAAAAGTAAAAATTACAAGCCTGAGTATAGTGAGTGACAATTAAATAGAAACCAGCATCCTGGCCAGAGATTTAAAAGCATTTAAAATATTCAATTCATGATCTGACCAGAAATGTTACTGACACACACCTTTATTTGTCCCAACATCTGTCACAAAGATACTTGAATGATTAAGTTGTGTGGAGATTGTGTAAAATAGTGCAGCATTGAATGGCAGCATCTAAAAGTCTCACTTTTTTACACATAATTAGTGTTTTATTCATGAGAGTTTGTTCATTTATATAATTTTATTAAGCTATTGAAAGTTACATCAACATTTTGCCGTTTAACCATCTTTTACATCACAAAAGTAAGAAACGTGTACTTAAAATTTTACTGTAACTCTATCAAATTGGTTATCTGCTCTTAAAAAACTACTTGGATCTCCAATTGTGATTTAACTGTGTTTCATGCCTTCAAGGTTTTTTGTTGTTTTTTTGTTACTTAAACATGATTGTAAGAGAAGTTTATCTTGATAGAAAATGTACTGACGAGTTGAATGTGTTGTTTTGTGTTTTCAGGTGAATGAAGGCGTCAGAGAGAAGGAGAACTCTGATCGGCTGGAATGGATTCAGGCTCACGTTCAGTGTGAGGGGCTGTCAGAGGTGCAGTATGAGCCGCAACCGTGTTTTTAAGATTAATAAGAGGTGAAATACTCAGAACAAGGCAAGCTTTTCTGAATAGTTTTAGAGAGAGAGAAAAATATATATATATATATATATATATATATATATATATATATATATATATATATATATATATATATATATATATATATATATATATATATATGTCAGAGAAGGGGACGCAGTTATACATCCAATAAAAATTGGTGTGAGAAAAGAACCTTGAGGAATCCCACATATGATCTTACTTTGCTTAAATTAATTATTTATTAGAAAATTATTTCTTTAGAAATGTAGACTGTGGACGCTGACATTAGTGTTGGACATTGAGATGCTGTTTCAGGCTTTAACAGCTTCTCAAAACAACTTGAACACAACAGTCGTCTTTCCCAGCGTCCCATCAAATCCTGTTAGAAGCAGAAATTACTTTATTATCCATTGTGGTTTCTGGTTGTACTGCAAACATGCAAGTACAAACTAATAATGAAGCAATTATTTGCATTAATTGAGCAAAATTAAAGCATTCATCTTTTGTCCTTAATTATTTCTGAATGACAAAGTATCCCTGCCTGATGTGACCCAGTTTATCACAATGTACTTTCCCCATTCAATCAAAATCTTATTTCTCACTATGTCAGAAGCCGCACTGAGATCCTTTTACTGTTAATATGTATGTGGTGTAAAACCTTTTGAAGTATACTTTAAATCTTGCAAAGTTTTTTTAAACAACTAGAATAAAAAAAAAACAGAAACTATGTAGAGAAGAATTTTAACACCATCACCTTAAAACTTGTCTGATCATTTTCAAATAAATTTCTCTGTTCTTTTTAGCAACTGGTGTTCAACTCGGTCACCAACTGTCTGGGACCCAGGAAGTTCCTCCACAGCGGGAAGCTGTTCAAAGCGAAGAGCAGCAAGGAGCTCTACGGCTTCCTGTTCAACGACTTCCTGCTGCTCACACAGGTGAGTCTTCCTGAAAGAACCTGTGGCTCAGTTGAATTGTCATTCAATTTTCCAGAAAATTGATCATTAAAAAAGATTTACATGTTCCTACAGCTCTTAAGGTCTAAACTGCAGATGGTGCCATTTCACCAGATTAAAAAAATGTATACTTGAAAGGATTTAGATCCTCAAAAATGGAAATCTGTTTTCACTGATTTTGACAGCGAGCTTAAAACGTCTGCAGCTCCTCGTCTGCTGCAGGACATTTTTGGACTCATAACACACTTAAACAAACTGAAACTTTTTTTCCTTCCTCAAACAGGTGACCAAGCCTCTGGGCTCATCAGGTTCTGACAAAGTCTTCTCCTCAAAAACCCACCTGCAGTACCGCATGTACAAAACGGTGAGAAGACTTCTGATCTTCTGTTCTTTCACTTTCATGCACTTTGCCCTATTTGGGCAAAAAAGCACGAGCTTAGTTTTCAGCAGGAGGTAGACCCTCATTGATGAGTGTGTGATATGGACTTAAAATTTATCGCAATATTTACTGGTACTGTTGTGATAACATGAAAAGTGACGATAAAAACTATTTCTTCTTTTTTAGCTTACTTTATGTCTGTGACTGCATGACTCAGCAATCAGCCCTACAAACTAATACTGCTCTTTAAAAAATTCCCATTTCATTTTAATGCACTTCTTTAGGAGACCAGTCACATAATGAAATGTGATTTGTTTGACTAAACTGCACATACTAACCACATTTAATCATATTTTTAAATGTATTGATGTTTATTGCTGTTCTGATTGAACAAACAATGGAGAAAATAGTAAAACTAACAATCTCAACAATATAGACAGTTTCAGTGGTTTTTAAAGATTATTAACAGGAATTTGTGACACCAATAAATCAAAGTCTTATCAAGATAAAGAATTTATCACGATAAATGATACAATATGAACCCGCACCACCCTCATTTCTAACTGGATCTTTTTTCTTCTTTTAGCCGATCTTTCTGAACGAAGTGTTAGTAAAGCTGCCAACAGATCCATCCGGGGATGAGCCTCTGTTTCACATCTCACACATAGACCGAGTTTACACCCTCCGAGCTGAAAGCATCAATGAACGGTAATGGAAAACACACAACCCAGACGAGAGCTTCAGATGTTTGTTTCTATTAACTGGTCATCAGATTTTTTGTTCTCATTTCTTTATTAATATTATTATTTTATTTGTTTGACATGTCCTGTCCTGCAGTTTGGCACTCAGAATTGTGTGAGGCCCAACACATTGACTGGAGTGTCACAGGTTTCCCTATGATGCTCTTCTTAGTTTTTTAGAGGATTATTTTGGGTTTATTTCAGATGTAATGTACATAGAGACAAAAGAGGAAGAGAGAAAAACTGACAAAGGTGGAGCAAAGGATTACAAAGGAGAGGAGAAGAAGCATAGAGAGAACATAAGTCAACACCTTAAAAACTTGTAGAAAGAGAGAAAACAAAACCCAGAAACCACAATGACAAACGCAAATAAAATAAAAGTTATAGTATCATTGGAAAGCTAACTGAGAGCGTATTCCTTAAGTTAAATAATCCAACTTTTTGACGTTGTGTTCATCTTCTTACAGGACAGCGTGGGTTCAGAAAATTAAGGCCGCCTCGGAGCTTTTCATTGAGACGGAGAAGAAGAAGCGGGAGAAGGCATATTTAGGTAAGCTGGGCTCTGTCCGGTTGGTTTCTGCGGTTTCATTAAAACCCCGGCGGCTGACCGGTTTGTTCCTCGTCTCAGTCCGTTCTCAGAGAGCGACCGGGATCGGCAGGCTGATGGTTAACATCGTGGAGGGCATCGAGCTCAAACCTTGTCGCACCCATGGTACGTAAAGAGGCCATTGAAGGTCAACCTTTTGACAATTAAATATGTGGTACTGTTTTTTTTTTTTCTTCAAAGCATCATAATTTAATGTGATGACCTAATGAAGCTAACCAGTAGCTTCTCTCAACTAGTTTTATGCACAATTATCAGCAACAACATTGTCTGTGTTTCAAGGTAAAAGCAATCCTTACTGTGAAGTCACCATGGGCTCTCAGTGCCATATCACAAAAACAGTACAGGTAGGAGAAAATGACTATAAGTATTTTTTTACATTGTTTACATCATGTTTTTACATAATAAAAACAATTTTGAAATGAGTAATAAATGTCACATTTTGTCAAATCGTCAACTACAAATCAAATATGTTGTGTCCAACTTACTACTAATCAAAAGCAACTCTAAGAAAAGTAAAGTGAAAGTAAAAAAAAATCTATTTCATTATATGGTTAAAACTTCGTTCATTAATGTTGATGTTTTAACATTAATAAGGAGAAAAATAAATCACTCAGGAATGTTTGAAGTATTTCTATTCATATCCATTTTTCATACATGAACCAATTCCAGTGTTTTCTATTAGAGTTGGGAAAGTGGTGCATATTTGCCAACTGAAACAAAGTCTGCTTTTGTATGATACTGTATATGTTTTATTGTCCAAAATAAACTAAGAAAAGAAAATCTGAAAGGAAAAGTAAGAATTATGATTTGTATATGTCTGTTAAAATTGTTAACAGTTACTAACATAATTGAAGTGTGAAAGTGTGTGCCTCTGCAACAGGGCCATAGAATTTAGACTTGTACAATAATGTTTTAGCCTTTAGAAGTTACATTTATAATTCAGCTTCATGTCGATTTACTCTGAGCAGTGGTGCAAAAAGTCTGTATGCAATACATGCATAGATATGATGGAATATTTATTTATAATCCATCAATGTACATACAGCTGTTAAATACAGTCCCCAGGGTCCCTATAATATTATTTAATTTTCCTTTGGGATCAAACACGTCAGAGAAAACTTAGTTTGTGCCCTGCTGAACAAACCAATGTGGGTTTTAGAGAATGTGAATTCAAACTTCTTCTGAGTTGTTTTCTTTATTTGCAGGACACTTTGAATCCCAAGTGGAATTCCAATTGTCAGTTTTTTATTAAGGACCTTGAACAGGACGTCCTCTGCATCACTGTGTTTGAACGAGACCAGTTCTCACCTGACGGTGTGTGACACATTCAGTCCACGTTTCTAAACCATCCAATGTTTCTGTTTGTCCTACACAGAGGGACAAAACGCCCCTCGACTTACCACGTCTTGTCTCCACAGACTTCCTCGGCAGGACTGAGATCCGATTGGCCGAGATAAAGAAGGACCAGGGCTCCAAAGGACCAATCACGAAGAGGCTGCTGCTTCATGAGGTTCCCACGGGGGAGATTGTCGTTAGACTGGACCTGCAGCTGTTTGAAGAGCCGTGAAAAGAGCGGCAGGTTGGACCAGATGGGACCGGCCCGGGAACCAACTCAGAGAAACGAAAAAGGGACAGTGCAGCTGGACTGGAATAAACTGGACCAGAGGCCTGGAATGGGTTGAGGTTACTCATTGTGTGTTCTGGCTGTTAATGTTTAGGAAGATTAATATGTGAACAGCAAGATTTTCTCTGAAAGAAAACCCCAGGTAGAGTCAGTAACACTAAATATCATCCTCCTTAACAACAACCTGAAATGCCATGTCAGTTTTATTTTCTTTGCCATTTTTTTCCATTATTTGGAAGAAATTAACAATAAAAGGGCTTACTTGGGATCAAATGGAGAACATTTTCAAAAAATAAGAGAACCCTAGCTACATATCTTGGATCGACATATTTATCTGTAAAAGTCAGGATGTTAAGGTTCAGCCTTGTCACCACAACAAATTTAGGACGTTAAGTTGTCCCAGAAATTATTTCACTAAACAATAATATTGCTGTATTGAGACCATTTTAAGTACTTTATCAAATTAAAGTCTATTGTTTATTGATAAGGCAGACCTGCAATAGTGTTTATCAGTAAACAATAGTCTTTAATTTTGTGAAAAACTCTTTAACACTGGGACTAGAGGATATTTAAAATATCCAAGAAAAAACATGACAACCAAAAACCATAAATAAAAAAACATTTATAAGCAAAACCATAAAGAAAATGGATTGTGATGTTTCTGTAAACAAAATTGACCTTTAAAAATCAGAATGGAAATTATCAAGCTCATTTTAATTTATCATTCAAAATTGATTACTTATTCCAACAGTCTTAATTGGGCTACCAATGTATTAATTGCAAATATTTATCAGAAAGCAAGATGTGAAGTTGCCTTGGTTAGCTTAGAACACTGCAAAAACACAAACTATAGAATTTTTGTTCTAGTTTTTAATGCAAATATTGAAATAAGACAAAACTAACTTGAAAGTAACTTTTCAGCAAGGAATAGCAGCTCTTTTTAAGTCAATAATTCCTTAATATTAATGAGAAAGTATTAGTCATAAATGAAATAAAAGAACTAGTTCTCTTACATTAGCATTAATAAATTATTGACTTAAAACTTGCTCCAACTTCTTATTGAAATGTTACTAAGATGTTTGTACTGGAGACGAGACCAAAAATACTTGCTAAGATTTTTGTGTTTTTTGCTGTGAATACTTAATGGCAGTAAAATAATGAAAATCCCAGTGCCCCCTTTCTGGTCCAGTTAATCCCAGTCTGCTTCTGTCCCAGTTCTGTGGGTTCCAGGTTGAATTCGGTCCAAGTCCGAACTCAGATGGGTTGTTGCTGTTTCCGCCTCTTCTGCTTTTATCCAGACAGTCTTAGAGAAACTCCAGTGACAATCCCTCCTTTTTTTTATGTCCCTCCAAACTTAACCGCTGTGTGTGATTGAGTGTGTGCAAGATCAGGTGTGAATGACTAGAAAAGTTTAAAGTCAGGTAGGTGACCTTTAAAGGCACTGAACAGCTTCTCAAACTCTTAATCAATTTTTCAAAGCTTTAGCAATGAGCTATAGAACTTAAAAAGGGATCTTGATAGTTTTGTTGTTAACCTCAACTGAACACATGCCACATTTCCTCAGAAAGTGCTTAATATGTACAGGTGTATTGAAAACCATGCTGATAAGCTGAAAAAAAAAAAAGATTTTAAGCAAGTATATGATAGGTATTCAGTATAAATGACCAACGTACAGACATGTCAATGTGTCGGAGTTACAGTCAATGCAGTGAACAGGTACAAAAGCTGATTTCAATCAAGGTACTGTGAACAAGAATGTCTTAACTTTTATTTTCTGTTGCGCATCTCAGCTCTGACATGTTGCTGCAGTGTTAATCTGTCATGGTTGTCATTACTATGCAGGGAGAGGGGGAAGAAAATGAACAAATGGGAGGTCTCTGTGGTTCAGGGCGTTTTGAAGAAGCTCCATGAAACATATTCTCAGTTCCAGTCCTTAATCCTCCAGAAGGTTCAATACAGAAACCATTTTAATATACGTCAGCACTCCTAGCACTTTGAAAATAGACGCTGTTCCCGATATTTCAGTAGAAAATGATCCAAGTCAACATGACACCCAGCAGCCATTTTGAGTAGTCAGTCAGAAAGTTTGCCTGGAGGATAAAACATTCAGTCAGATCTGTTTCACCTCAATATTTATACCTCTACTAACATCTCTATAGGATAGGGCAAGGGCAGGCGTGTCAACATCCAGTTCTCGAGGGCCGGTGTCCTGCAACTTTTAGATGTGCCTCTGCTGCAACACACCTGAATAGAATAATTAGGTCATTAGCAAGACTCTGGAGAACTGATCTACACAAGGAGGAGGTAATTAAGCCATTTCATTCCTGTGTTTTGTACCTGTGGCACATTTAAAAACTGCAGGACAGTGGCCCTCGAGGACTGGAGTTTGACACCCCTGGGCTAGGATCTGTTAGTATAACCCTCAAGTTATACTAACTTGAAAAAATGACTTTGTGGAGCCAATGCTCAGAATCATCAGTGGTTTTCTTTTAAATATTTTAAAAGACCCACTTTAACAGCAAGATAGTGGAAAAAAATGTATTATCAAAATAAACACCAACCAGGTAAAATATTAATCAGCAGTAAGCTTTTACTGCTGGAATGACAGATAAGATTTGTGAAGTTTAAAAAAAAAAGTTGTTCATGTTGGCACTATGTTTCTGTTTGCACACATTTAATACATATCAAGTTGTTCATTTTAATCCAACAACAGTAGAAATATGATCTAACACATAAAAACAAAACAAGATTATAGACTCCAGTAATCAAAACGATCAATTAGTTAAACAAGCAAAGTAGTCAATTGACCATCCATCCATCCATGCTAGTGATGGGTAAATGAAGTGTCATGAAGTGTTTCGACCCATAGCAAAACTGTATTGATACTGTGTCAATACTGTGTCACTGAATACTGACACCTGCTGGACATTAAAAATTCCTACAGGCAACGTAGTTGACGGACTGATTTGATGACCTTGTCTATACAATTAGATTTAAGTCACTGTATATTATTTAAAGTCATATCTTCCATTTCAAATATTGGCATGTTTAGAAAAAGTCCTTCAAGTTCCACTAAAAGTACCTAAATAAATACCACAGAAGCATGGAAAAACAAGTATCAAAGTCATACAGCAACATTACCGAGACAGTGGCATCTATTGAAGCACAGATATAGAAAAACTAAACGAGGCGAATCAGATAGAAATGAATTAAAAAGTGACCCAAGAATGGAGCCTTGAGGAACCCCATAGTTGATCTGTTGGTTTATATTTGTGACAAAAGTCTACCAGGCAAGTCTGCTTCTCTCCTTCTACAACCAAACTATTGGTTGTGTATTTTCAACTGTGCTACATGACTGAGATGTATTATAGTTGTTGACATGCTGCTGTTAAAATGTCTTTAAGCTTAAACTTTTAAAGTATGATTTCAGTGATCAAAAACATGACAACATGTAATTACAGAGATATGGGTTAAAATCCCAACCAGGGATCTTTTTGTCTGATGTGGTGAGGAATTAGTAAAGAGCTACATGCCAGTTACCCATTTGGTTTAATTTTTCTGTTTTTTTAGTTCATCTTACAAAATAATAACTTTGGCAAAATAGTTATAAATAATAAATCTTATAAAACCGAACTGCAACTTACTTAGCAAGGATTTTGGTTGTCTGAAGAGCTATATGCAGCCTGTGTGAAATAGGTTGAAGAAAAGCCATTGAAAACTGTAATGTCTGATTTATTTTAGCTAATTCTTCCATTGTTACACATCAAAGCTTGTAATTTGAGAAAGATGGGCCTGTTAAAAAAATAAAGAAAGCTACTAAACTACATAGTGCTAGTGCCTTTACATGAACATGCTAACACTTCTTGGCCTTATACAAAAGAATGCTTCATTTTAATTAAACCAATTCACTTTTAGCATATCTCTAACATGATTTCTGAGTTTAAAACAATTAGAATTTTGTCCGAGTTTAATGCTTTTGAATATTCAAAATGGCAGCTACATTAGCTGGTGGGACAACTAACAGTGAAGTTGTAGATGTGTTAGTTATCTAGTTACTTTGCCTGATAGTAAATCTAGATAGTACTTTTAATTTGAAGCCACAGTTACAATAATATTCTGAATAATAAATGACAAAACAGCTTAGTGACCAGCCACTGTCTAATCAGCAGCTTAAGTATGTTGAAAGATGTGAACGAATGTTGGTGTTTGTGGCAGACAAAACCAGTAACGACGATTCTAAATGGTTTCCCTCTCTTACTCTTCCCTTCACACCGTACTGAAACTAACCCGGTCCAGTTTGAGCCTGTTCTTACTGTCTACCTTCCAGGTTGTGAATAATACTGCTGTTACCTGAGAGTTAATATATGAGGAGCGATGACAACAAGCCTGTTGTTAATTATCACTGTAGAAGATAATGTATGTACTTGTCTTTCAATGTTCAGAATAAAATTCATTTGGACCAAGACTGGAGCTCATTTTTTTACAGAAGTTTTTAAGGAAATGCAGTAACTACAGGAGCCGTCGTGAACAACCCGAGTAGTTTTAGGGAGATGTTAAGTTCATTCCCATGTTTTGATGAGTATTGATGAGCAACAATAAAGGTAAACCAGTGTAGAAGTTAAACATTTATTTTGCCAGCATATTATATTGTGCATCATTTCATTATACACTTTTATAGTGTACCGGTTAGATGGAGCTTCTTTTTGTCTGAAGGAAAAGGGTTAACTTGGCAATTTCACTAGTCTCCAGAACATTAACTATGTGTACCGGTTTTCAAACAAATATTTGAGAACCGGTAAATAATTATCTGAGTATTTGTACTCACCATACCGTCATATGTGTACTATTGTGTACATCTTCAGATGACTGTTTGCTGCTTTGTAAGGGCATTTTAACTGCTGCTCTCTTAATCCGATGAATTTGTCTAACAGAAACCTTCCTCTTTATATGTACAAACCCATCTTTGTTCTGAAGTTTTCATTAAATATCTAATGTTTTCATACCTTGTCATTCAGCACTACACTATCTGATGATGGTGTATTAGCAGGTACACACACACTTCTCAAGAATTTAAATTAAAGGGTCAGTATCAAGTAATTTTTTTATTTAGCTTTTGGATGAAGCTTATTCCTCCATCCAAAACACATCTGTAAATGGTCTGAACTTATATAGCGCTTTTCCAGTCATTTTGACCACTCAAAGCGCTTTGCACTAGAGTCACATTCACCCATTCGCACACACATTCATACACCGATACGCAGACCGGTATTGTGCACCAGCCACTGTCTAATCAGCAGCTTAAGTATGTTGAAAGATGTGAACGAATGTTCACCGTCATATGCGTACTATGAACAAATGTTCACATCTTTCAACATACTTTGGGGTTAAGTGCCTTGCCCAGAGGCACATCAACATATGGCAGGATGAAGCTGGAATCGAACCTACAACTTTCTGATTGCAAGACAACAATTCTGTCACACAGCCACAGTCGCCCACTGTAGTGTTTCCTTGATTCTTTTATGCATGTTTGAGAAATTCTTTTACTCTTCATGGCAACCATTAAGCTGTGCAAAGTAATGCCTGAGTGGACCTCGCCTCCTCAGAGCTGCAGGTTCTGCAGCTCCTCAGCTGGAGGTGGGGATCCTGTGAGGAGCAGCTCCCCTCCAGCCCACCCTCCCTCGATTCTCCCACTCGGCTCCTTCAGACTAGCCAGCAGAAATTAGCAAACACCTGGTGGAACTACATTTGCTGAGCTCATTACAGTAGATACATCTCAATGAAACACTCGGAAAAACATTGCTAAAGGGTTAATAGAGGAGCCATGTAACAATGACTTTCTGAAGGCGGAGTTTCAGAAAGAGCAGGAGTGTCTTGAAAAGACAGAGGCCCAAATTCAAGGCATTAGATTACAACGTATGATTTCTTTTACGCCATATTTAATATATTTAGCATTTTTTTAAACATCTGAAAGTAGCATAGATACTTGACTGTGCTATAAAATGACACCATATGTCTGAAAAACACATAACTCCCCTTTAAAGGAAAAAAACATGTTGCCGCTTATAGTTAATATCTTAAAATAATTAACTATGTGTTTTGCAGTGTTACATTCAGGAAACAGGATCTTTTTAGAGGGTGTGAATACTTTATATAGATGCTGATGATGTGACAGTCTGACCCAGAAAATTCTATGTGATTAACCCAGAAGTTACGTCAACAACATGCACTGAGTGAGTGCAATACTGAAACGAGAAAAGCCTTTATTCGCCTAAGCCAGTGTTTGTTTTTAGAACTCTACAAATAAAGAAATTGGTTTATTGCAGAATACAAGACGGAACTAAAATGGATTTTTATAAATATTAGATTAGAATTTTTAAATTAGTATTTTTGTTAAATCGTTTCTTTTTAATGAGTGGTGGTAGAAATGTAGCTTTAAACAAAACTATGATGTGTTAAAAACAATAAGAATGTCCACTTGGTAAAAAGACATAAATTTGCTTCTTATTTATTGAATATGGTGAATGTATCTCTGAGTATGCAGTTCTCTGCCTCAACACTGGAATGAGACTTTGTTCTCGATGATCCTTTTAATCCAATCCTATGGAGATTATGGAATGGGTTTTTATCTCCACAATTTGCAGCTCTGTTACATTTTTAAGCGATTAACTAACAAGAAACGTGGCGTTCATTCAAATTTAAAAAAAATTAATAAATAACATTTTAAAAAGTCTATGTACTAAACATGTCAGTGAACCTGTTCACCTTAGTGGTGCTGTCTCTCCTTGTCTCATTTGTTTGAAACATATTTCTGGCTGTTTTATTATCATGTGCAATAAAGAGCTCAACAGAGCAACACTTGGAGTAGAAAAATCTGCTATTTTCTGCTTAATGCCTCATTGAGCAGCAGGTGGAGCTGTCAGCAGAACAGCCTTGTGTTTGGCTTCATTATTTCTTCTTTTCATGCTGTCTCTGTCCCTTTGACCCCTCTGGTCTGCAGTGCCTGGCAGCTGCTAAGTGTTGGGAAAACTATATATGGGAAAATTTGTTACTTTATATTCAACCATTCATCGCTTTTAACATAATGAAGGGAAGAATCTTCTATCCATTTCTCTATTTAGTAAGATTCTGTAATGTTGGTTCTGACCACAAATAAACTATTTTGCACCTGCGGTGCTTAGACCATTGCAGAGCAGCTTATTTATCTTGGTAGTTATGATTTTAAAAAACAATATAGATAAATTGTCTTTAAAATTCTCAGATCTTATATTGAATCATTTTCTGAACACTTCCATTATTTTTTGCTTCTGATCCCTTTATGTGACCCCATGCTTTAGATATGATTTATGATTTATCAGTCATAAAACCACTACTCCTTACAGTGAACCATGAGTATATGATAGAAAATCACTTTAAATTGCAGTTGTGAAAGTGAATACAAAATACTAAAGTTGAAAAAAATTACTGCTTTGTTGATATATTTTCTATGGCAGAGGGATATATTTGAAACAAAAAAATAAATAAATAACAGCAAACGAACAAGATGGCCAGCACTTGGAAATGTCTGAGCTAAAATCTAGATGTCAACAAGTAAAAAAACCGTCATATCAACGGCCAAAAAGCCCAGTTCTAGCTACCCATACCAGGTTCACATAGAAAGCAGCCCGCAAGAAACTAAAAGAAGTCTCCAAAAACTGCCAAGCATCCTCACAGGACCAACGGATGATAAGTCAAACTTGATAAGTCAAACCTCTACAATCAAAGGAAAACTGAACATGTTTAACATTCGTGGGATGTGTGCATGAAGGAAACATAAGGAACGGGAATAATATGCTTTGGACTTCTTCTTTATCTTCCACATGGATTTATTGGTCTCTCAGAACTCTTCCAGCTGATGATTTTTTGGAAACAAATATATGGCTTACAAAAAAAAATTCCTTCTCAGACTTGAAACATAGAATTTACGCATATACTAATTGTGGAAAGATAATTAGTTTCTACTTTATCATATTGTCGTATTATGAAACAAATTAGATTTTGAATTTGTGAAGGTTAGAGCTTTGTTTTGCTTTTTACACTGATTTATATTTACTTTATCTTTCATTGATGTTCAATGAAAGATAAGTTTAAGTTTTTGTCTAGCTCTAAATTGCTTTGGATTTTGCAAACATAATAATGGTTATCAAAGTTCAAAACTATACGTTTGGGGAGATGTAGGTTGTTTTTCATTCAAAAACAAAACCTACAAATACAGATTCAAACAAAACATAAAATTTCCCTCAACTGCATTGTCAGTTTGGAAGACAATTTTTAGCAATTCATTGTTTTGGGGTTTATCAAATATAAAACTCAACTACAGAGGGGGAAAATTAGTGGAAGAAATGAAGTTTACTTCAATGGTGTGTTAAATTTTCTTCACTGATTCCAAAATTTCTAAACTGAGAAAAACAGAAAGCCTAATGCAGACATGTGGGATTATTAAATTGGGCTTTGTGAAGAGTCTTTAACTTTCCAAGTTGGAACATAAACTTCAGGAGGCCTTCTGGTTGTTTTTTTGTCTCTATTTGAAACTCAGATGTATTCAGGGGATTAATAAAACACGTTAAGCTTTCACCACCAACTATTTACTGCTGCTGTACTATATGTTTGTAGATGTGCTGAACGGCTGTGCTGTGCAATGTGATGACACAAAAAGCCTTTACCAAGTCAAATCCCTCCTCAGTCACGACTCTGCCAGTGAAACGGTGAGTCACAACACAGAAAACACATCACCAAAAATACAGAACACAGGAAAACATGTGTCCTATTTCAGGCCTGTTCAAAACACAAATCACTGTCATATATTGTATTGAATGATTTTGACATATAAAACTGGAGGAAAATAATGTCTCTAAAGAGAAAATGATTGAAATTTGCATTGATTTAAATCCAACACTGTGCTGACGTCACTCTGTTTAGGCGGTCACAGAGACTGCCTGCACGTAAAGCCGGTGTGCCTGCATTTTTAATGTATGTCCTTGCTTGGGGCGACCCTGTTAGTCTGTAACTCGCTGTTCCCTTCAAGGACTCACATGAAAATGAACCACAAACAGCGACGTTACCGGTAACAGTAACGTTAAGGGCCGTAATAGCTGTTTGTGTGCGCTCATTCGCACGCGCTCTCTCCCTCATTCATACACACACACGCATCATTACAGTCGCGGCCGCACGCGCTCTCCGTCACATCTGTGTGAGAGGTTAGAAAGCTAGCTAACGCGGGTTCTTCTCTGTTGCTATAGAGTTAAAGCGGTGTTTTCTCGTGTTGTTATGTGTAGACGTGGTTGTCTTTGAGTAACGGATTATCTACATTTCCCCTCGGCTGACCGGGAGCCGCCATGGAATGCCGTGTTCTGTCCATACAGAGCCATGTAGTCCGGGGATACGTGGGCAACAAGAGCGCCTCTTTCCCATTACAGGTAAATGCAAACTGCATACACTCATTATCGGACAGCGGGTGACACAACACCAGTCACGAACACGACCCTGTCTGAGATGCCAATTAACACAGCACGTTCCTGACTTCCTGTGTTTCTGTCTTCCAGCAAAAAAACACATTTCTATACTTTTTTCTATAGATATACGTTAACGTTCCGGTAAGTTCACATAATTATAATTAATAACATCTTCCATGGTGTTATAATGTGCTTTTATTTGTAAGTGTTTCTCAATTAAAACTTCATTTTACTATTCTGATAATGGCTTGACAGGCCATTATAATGTTCTAAATATAAAGGTTAGCCCTCGAAGACAGGTGTCGCGTAAAATGTTGTGTCCCTGGCGCATTTAGTCCCTCCGTTCACCAAATCCTCCGCCTCTCTGATCTACTTTCATGTGGAAAACGTTGAATAAGGTCACGTTTGTAGCTGGACACCTTTTGGGGACCAAATGACATAAAAACCCGTCCTGCTCTTGCGGGTTCAAGGGACGACACCTGTCATTGAGGATGCCCGATAATTGAGTCATCATGGTGTTCTGGGAGGTCTCGTTGTCCGTCACCGCAAAACCGACGCTTTTCATTCTCCAAAGCCACGGAACAAATAGTACGATCAGAGTGGAGCTGAGATACATGACAGAAATGCAGAGAGGACGTGTGTCACAGCGATCGTAAGCAATTTAAATAATAAAAAAAAGGATTTAATAACTATTGCGTTATTGAAACATTGATATCAATCAGCATAAGGGAAAATTTACTTTTCATGAAATTCTAAACGTGGCACACCAACATAATGCTATTAAGCATTTTTCAAAGATTACATTTATTTCCTATGCAATCATAGTCAAACTCATTTACTGTTCTTGATTTTGACATATTTAGAGTTAGTTGTGAATTTTCTTACATTGTTGTAGTGTTCCACTTTTAACAGGGCTCACTCCAAGTTCATGTTATCTGGTGTAAGGTAGTTATCTTTATCAAGGTACGCTTAAAACCTTTCCTTCATGCAGTTGCAACACTTTAATTCAAAAGTATGAACGAAGGGTGCAGACAAGAAGAAATAAGAAGAAAAAAAATGGAAAATTGTAGATTAATGTAAGACATTTTGTAGAAAATAACTTTTTGACTTTTGAAGCTTAGAAATTTGAGGGGGGGGGGGGTTCTAGAAATTTTCTTAGAAAGCATAGCCTAGATGTGGAATGGTTTTGAGATTTCCAGACGGATTTGACCTGGGTAGTAGCATAGTAGGATAGTAGTAGCATAGTTACTTGGGTAAGTAATCCTAAAAACTGTCAATTCTAGAGTAGTTGTCTCAAACTGTAGTTCTTGACAACTGGTGTCCTGCAGCTTTTAGATGTTTTTCTGCTTCAACACACATGGATCCAATATTATCTCATTAGCAGAGCCTTGTAGAGACTAGTGAGGAAGTTTAGCCATTTAATTAAAGTGTATAGGACAAGAGACATAAGTTGAAGGACTCTAGCCCTTGAGGAATGCGGTTGAGACCATTCATCTGGAGGTTGGAAAAAGTCTAATCTTTCTCATCTCATCTTGGAAAAGTCTAGAATTGTCAACCCAAATAAATCATGAAGGAAACAATATCAATAGAAAAAGGCAAAAGAAACAAAGAACAATATAAATGTTTTTCACCTTCAAAAAAATAAGGATGAATTTTGATGACCCCCCACCATTGTTAGAACAATGGTTCACTTCAAAGTGTAGGTGGAGCAACAGCAGCAGTGCTAAAGCACAGGCTCCTTGGAGCCGCTGAAGTGAAGAGCTAACTGTTACCTGTGGCTATGCAGCATAAACCTTCCTGTAAGGAAATACATAAAGCAAAAGACATGATACACATTTTATTTCCTTTCACTGCTCAATAGGAAGAAACACATCAACAAAAATCAGACTGCAGTTTGTTCATTTCATTACTTAAGGTGAATCATGGCAAATTACATTGCCATGAAACTAACAAAACTTGCTACCTTGTTTTGATAGACTTAGCTTTTTTTTTTTTTCTTAAAGATAGCAAATATCTCAGTTATCTTTGGCAATTAAACTCTTACATTAATAAGAAGAGTTTAAAAGGGGGCTGAGCATTAGCACTAGCCAACAGCTCAATGGAAACTGAGAGCAGGGGGCTAATATTGCAGAGCAGCTGACTAAAAAAAGAAAGTATTTCTTACTATCTTTAACGTAAAGCCTTCAAAACCACACAATAAAATCTGAAAATCTTGGTGGTTTGAACGGTAAGTTGAAGTTATGATACTTCCCAGATATTCAACATTTGAATTTTAGTTTGACCTTTGTGAGTCTCAGCAGTTTGTTTACTGAGAAAACTGAGAAAAACATATTTGTTGTACATTACCCCTTATCCATTTTTGCTCCTGCAGCTTGAACACATAAAATTTTTTTAAATCACGTGACATTTCACTAACTTTTCTGATCCCGCGAAATTACGCTTATGGAATTTCCTTCATTGTCTCCCCCAATAATGGGATGGGATTTACTCCTTTGCTCAGGTCAACAAAGTTGCTAAATTGGCAACAGTGGAGCAACTATTGTTAACCTCATAAGTACTTCATTGATCCCAATGAGAAATTTCATAAATAATAGTAGTAAATAGGTAAATTAGAGCTGATTTATCTGAAGGCCGAATTATTGAAAAATCCCTAGCTCACAACCTTTTCCAGTAGTTGTGCTAGTATTTGACATTTTTCAAGTTTCATTGTCTTTTTATACCTGAATAGTCTAATTTCAGTGGTTCAGTGATCTACTTTATTGGGAAGTCTGTATTAACTTGAAAAAGATCCAAACTTCAAAAAACAAACAAACAAAAAAACTGAATGAACAAATGATTGTTTTATTTTGAAGTCTTGCAAACTCTTCTAACTTTTGGTGTTGGCTCATTACCTACATAAACAGTAATAAAAGTCTTGCCTCAGAGCGTTTTTTCCAGTGTCTTACAAAGAATCATAAGAAGCGCCGTCTAAATGAGGCAATTGATACGATATGTGAGAGGACATTTAGGGTATTAGCTACTTCTGGCAATGAGCGTTGCCATCATGTTTCTTTTTGCGATGTCCATTGCTGACAGTAGGATTACGGTAAGTGTCTTTGCATTAGTAATAATTACCTCGATGATACAGGCTCTGTAGTGGCTGGTGGAGGTTGGTGTGAGGAGCTTACAGTATGAGCTCCATCATGGTGCTCATGGTGAGAAGTGGACCGGGTTTATTTTTAGCCTGTGGCACACCAGGATTTATTTGGTGCTTCTCTTAATGGCTGTTCCGCTTTGATGCTTGCTATCAGAGTTCAGTTTAGTCAGTAATCTTTAAGTACTATGCCGTATTAAGGCTCATTTGTACGACCTTAATGGTAAAGTAATGCAGAGCAGCAGAGCCAGTCGCAGTACACAGCCTTGACTCTGGCAGGTCACAGTCAATGTACTCCTTCTCTGCAAGCTCAACAACTCCACTTTTATGGATATTATAATCAAAATCCCCAATTCATTCTATTAGAATCAATTTGGATGTTACAACAATAGAACAACAAGCTATGTACAATGAGGATAATTTGCTTTATAATGTTTGAAAAGCTCCATTAGCTTATCTTATTAGCGTTCTAAAGGGATCGGCCAATCAGAATCCCTTTCGTCCCTGATCCGAGTCGGTTTAGTCCGGGCATTTGTCAGTCCAATATACTACATTAGTCATTAGTTTTTTATAGTCTACATTAATATTGGGAAGATTGTCCCAATTAGTTCATTCACATTGTAGTTCTTGACACTGCAGGACATTCATTTAGACCCAGCAGGAGTTTAGGCAGGTCAACCTTAAATATGTCTGGCTCCAAATATTCAGATATGTTCCTAAAACTCAAGTTTTCTTGAGTGCTATGTAGCACGTTTATTATAGTAGGTGTCCACCCATAAGTCGACTCATATTTCCTTAATTATGGGTGATTAGCCGATATGTACATAGTACATACATAGTATCTACCTCTACAAAAGCTATAAAAATCAGCCACTCTCCTCATTTGCTCTGCTGTGAAAGAGGTTTGACTGACTGACTGGACCACCAGCTCATGTCTGCTTGGGTGTAGTTAACAATAGTCACACTACTGTTGTTAACTCAGTTACTTCTTGCTGTATTTAGCAACATTTCAGATAAGAAAAGAAATTGTCAAATTCCAAAGACCAAAATCGTAATCGGCAGGTTGGATTTTATAAAGATCGGTTTATCAGCGATCAGCCAGAAAACTGCAATCAGTGCAGCCTTGTATAATAGGGCTGCTAGATTATATAAAAAAGCAATTATTAGGATTATTTTGGTCAACATTGATGTTGTGAATATTTAAAACTAATTATTCATTAACTTGGGAGCAAAAAAGATGTATTGCATGGTGTAGCAGTAGCACACTAACATCAGTATTAGTATTTTAACATTGGTCCGGTTATGTTTGTATCTGTGTTGCCCTGCAACAGACTGGTGACCTGTCCAGGGTGACGCCACCTCTTATCTGAAATGTCTCATTGGAGATAGGCACTGGCACCCCTCTTACCCCAATAGGGACCAGGGTGTACAGTAATTGGATGGATGAATGGATGGTATCATAAAATATATATATTTGTTGCTGTTTTTCTGGTGGTGAAGGTTGGTCATGTGACAGTGATGGTGGGACAGTAAAGGATTATGGGGAGTTTAACTGAAACAGAAGAAATGGTGTGGTTAGCAATTTGACACTGATATTGTCCTAAATTTTTATATTTGTGTGTTTCTACTTAGGAACTTACTCAAAGTTACAGTACAATAATTATTTGGAAGTTTTTTTTTAGTACAGACCACATTAACAACCTGAATATTTCAAAATATACAATAGCAAGGCAGTAATTTATTTAGGACAAATACAAAATCATTTCTGTATCCTACCTTGAGTGTTAGGGATTGGTCAGTAGTGGCCTGTAATTCATTTGCAGTCGTGATGCAGACAAAGCGGGTCTGGCTTTTCTCTGCAAGTGCTGTATCCGAGGAACACCAATAAGTGCTATCATGAGTCTCCAAACGTTTCCAGTAACACCTGAAAAAGTAGCTAGAATTGTAACTAATAATTTTAACAGAATAAAATTGGCGAGTGGTTGTAAAATTTGCTCAAAATATCAATTTAGCCTCAAATAGAACACATGCTAAATTGAAAGCAGTCCACTATTGCTTATATCTGCTTATCCTTGAAGAGTTTGGGGTGGATCTCATCTGCTACAAGCAGTCACAGGGAAACTCAAATGGAAACATGGCAGTTTTGGAAAAAGAAGTTTTGCTCCATGATGGAGTGGCTTTTTGGCTTTTATTCATTTCTACTGGCGGAAATTAATAAAGAGACGACAGGAAGTGGCAGGATGATGGCGGCAAAGGAGCATGTTTTTTTAATAACTCATTGTGTGAACAAACTGGCCCTTCTGATTTTCCTCAGATGGGCCAGTCTGTGATTGTAATTGTGTTTCTATTTAGTAGAAATACAGCAATTGTGAAATTGTGCTTTTTTGACATTAGCAGCTTCAGGTAAATTTTTATGTTGTGGTTTCAACTTTTAGTGCCGTGACACATAGTTCTCAACTAATATTCACTAGGAAATAATTTTACATGCGTAGATACATCTGTAATACAACTATCCAAAAATATCCAAATGGTCAGCATTGCAGTTTTTCTCGTCACAGATTCTTGTCCACAGTGGTAAAAGTAAAGAAATGAGGTCAAATCTGACACTAGGGAATTATGATTAAAAAAAAACAAGTGGTGGGTCAGTGAAGAGGCTGCTCAGCTTTCAGAGTAATGGCCGTGATTCAGCTGGTGTAAGAGAGAAGGGAAGGATGATGACGATGATGTCCGCGAGCGTGCTGGGCATCCCTCTCTCCGTGCTGTCATAATGGAGACGGCAGCGTGAGGAAGACACGCTCTGATTGGCCGCCACAGGATTACTCCTGATGACGCGAAGATGAAGACAGAGCTGAGCTTCTGGCCATAAACTAAACAGAAAATCAGAGAAAGTAGAGATGATTCCCAGCATGGGTGACTCAACAGAGATGTTGTTGTTTGTTCCAATAGTTGCTTATTTGTTTATTGCAAATATGTTAGCACTTATACACCACAATGCATATTTATTTGTTTGAAAAGGAAGTAGGTAGAAGCATAAACTTGCCTTACTCTACCCCTTTTGTTACAACTTCAATATTTGCATTATCAATACAGATATTTACTTTTAATAACAGAGATTAACCTTTATCTAAATTTGTTGATAATTCACTTATCAAATCACTTTCTTCTTAATGTTTTTCCTTTTTGAACATCTCTAAAACCTACTGCAATTAACTTCTGGGATTAATCAGGTATATTCATTCATTCAAATCCATCCTGGAAAAAAAAACTGGTGTCATTTGCAAACAAAGCAAATTTGAGTACTTTTATTATTATAAAAGTACTCATGCACTTCCTCTGCACTGTAGTATTAGTTTATACTTTTTGATTTTCTTTTTTTAAAATTCAGCTTTAGAGAAACGCTGTAGAAGAAAGTAAATGTGTGTGGGGATTTCTGTGATGTAATCGTCCTTAAAATGGGAATGTTTGCCTCAAATCAGGAACTTTACAGATGGCTTTGCCATATGAGAGTAAGTGTTTAACAATACAGTGTAAGATTGTGGAAAGTAGAGAAACAATGACAAAAAAGCAGACTAGAATTAGATAATTTCCTCAAATGGGCCGGTTGGAAACAACAAAAAAATCCCATGTTTTTCTGATCCTTGAATGCATCATATCTAAGAGTTAGCAGTTGGATGTTTGGAAGCTGTTGCTTGAGAAAAACCCATAGTTACATTTAAAGCAGAAAACAGGAAGACTAATTTATTACAACAAAAATGTAATGTGTGACTCTCTAATAGAAAATGCTCATAATTTGTGTTTTCATTGTCAAACTGTTGTAAATAATCTCTGTTCAGTGCAGAATTATTCCGTTCAGGTTAGATTAAAATACATTTGTTAGTTTCTTGATCTTGAGGTAATCAAATGGATCCCTGAGTCTTTCATCCATGAAGCTCCAAAACAGAAGTCAGTTGTTAGCTAACTAACAACCTGACATCTGTGTTGTTGGCTTCAAACTGTTAGTGAGTTGCCGTAATTTCACAGTGTTCAAATAGTTCCTACCTTGTGGAATATGGTGTCCGCACACAAAACTGTTGCATGTTTGGTCTGAATTTTGTGGATGAAAACAGCTCTTCTCAAATTCCATAAACTGTTTTTTTCTGCCAGAAAGCAGGATGGGCAGTTCTGAGGAGAAATTGTCCAAGGCTGTGAGGAAACTACTGAACTCTTTCTGCTCTGTTGTGGTCAGATGTAGTGGGCGAACATCTCGCCAAAAAAATGAGACTTTGAACTTGTCTATTATTTTCTCCTCCTCTGAACTATATCCATTCATCCATTTTCTAACACCCTTGTCCCTACTGGGGTCAGGAGTTGTGCTGGTGCCTATCTTCAGCGAGACATTTTGGGAAAGAGGTGGGGTGACCCTGTAAAGGTTATTCGCCCATCGCAGGACAGCACAGAGTCAGACAGGACAAACAACCAGGCACGCTAACATTCATATTTAAGGAGAATTTAGAGAAATCAGTTAACCTGACAGTCATATTTTTGGACTGTGGGAGAAAGCCGGAGTCTCCAGAGAGAACCGACCATGCACAGAGAGAACATGCAGACTGTATGCATAAAGACCCCAGGCCGGGAATCATACCCAGGACTTTCTTGCTGCAAGGATACAGTACTTCTTCTGAACTTGTAAACTTCTAGTAGTTGTTCCTCTCTGCCATGGTTGCTTTTTACATCGGGAAATTTTGCTCGTGCACAATGCTGTAGGACACAAAGACGATTCGATTCTTTAGTTTGCCGTCTTTGGCCACATTGCAGTGGTAGAAAAATTTCGTTAACAAAATGAAACCTTGAGATGTAAGTATTATTAATTTAGTGCAATGCGCCACAAGAAAGGGAAAATTACACAGAAAAGGCCATATTATTTTTATTTTATCATTCTGTATTGGCTATGCTACACAGACTTTTTGCCACTGCAATTGACTGAAAAGAAAGCCATTAATGTACAACACCAATAAACACGCAAATATTTCCCACACACAGACAGAACATTCAGTCCGTTGCAGTTTTATGTTTTTAGGTTTGATGTTTATTTTACTATTATTAATAAGTGACCCTTTGAACACAGTGATGGTTGATTAATTTAAACACTTGCTCTATTGATGATCTGTGAGTTGGTGGGTAGGTTGTGTTTTATTTATTTATTTTCTTTATGAACCCAAACACAAAAAAACATTACATGTTAAGGTTGTCAAAGACAAGCTAGCATAACTGACCTACTTCCATCTCCTCCACTATTTTACTCATATTAAAACTTTGTCCTGACCTTGTTATTTAGTTGTTGTAGTGTTCTTTTACATATCTCACATACTTTTAAGATTTAGTGGGTTATGATGACAATTTCACAGCCAAAACCAATTGTAGACAAAGTTGCACATTGTTTCTGCGGGATCTTACCTTTTCTCCCTGCCATTTCTCACAGGTAGTGTTTGGGTTAAAGCGAGCATCCTGAAACTATGTGATCATGCATCAGTATTTTGACTTCACTCCTACTACTCTGATCCCTGTTAATGCGACGCTCACACTGCAGCTAGAAGCGTCTTCAATCCTACTTTTCAGTCCCTTCTTACCCATACCAGTTATTGTAACAACTGCATGCTCAAAGTTCCTGGTTTCAGCCATTAGATTACTCAGTGCTAATCTAGCTAGTCAAAGTGACATGATACTTCTTGTTTCTTGAGTCTGTCTCGTTCTCCTTAAGTCCTTTTTAGATAATAACTAAACGATCACCATGACAAAAAAAAGAAAAAAACTTGGTCTAATTCACAGTTCTGCCTTTCTTGTGAAGGTTTTACCTATAGCTTCATGTTTTTGTTCAGCACCTCACACGTTTGTTGAAAGTCACATGCTGGTGGTGCCCATCCAGTAGGTTACCTTGCAGAAAGCACGCGCTGCACTCTCAGGGGCATACAGACATCCCTCCAAGGTCAAAGTTAATTTGGAGTATTGTTCTGGCTGGCAGGCCCGGTGGGGTTCACAGGGTGTTTCTTTTCTGAAAGTCACAGTGAATTGAAAAGAACAAACAGCCCATTCATTCAGCCTACTTTAGTCCAATTAAGCAAAGCTGTTCAGATAGTGATGGACTATGCATGTGGATGAGCTGTGAGCCAGCCTTTTTCCACTCCAAAAGGACACCAACTTCATTTTTTTTAATCTGCTCTGTAGATTTCTGCGTGAATATTACAGTTGGATTGTCATGTTTTTTTTTTGTTTGTTTTTTTTTTTAATCTCCCTTCCTTTTAGGTTGAGTTTCAGAGAATTAGTTGTGCAGTAATATTCCTTTTTTCATCTAGAGTTGGTCCTCTCTTAGCAGTTCCAGGGCATATGGTTTTCTGCGTATTCAGCTATAACTGTCCTCACCTAAATGCTGCAAAACATACAGACAGTGGGGTGATGGTGAAGCTTTTAGAGGCTACAAAAATAAATAATGAACAAGGGTGAAGGTTAGATTTGGGTTGATGCTAAATTGTCTCCAAACAATTACTTACATCAACCTAGAAATGTTTATTACTGGAGACATTTTGTTGCTGCTCTGATTCTCTTCTTGTGTCTTTGTGTGCAGGTTTTAGGGTTTGAGGTGGACTCCATCAACTCGGTGCAGTTCTCCAACCACACAGGTTCTGACCGTCTTTCTGAGGGAATGTTTTGGGAGTGTATGGTATAGATGGATTGTGTGGGTGTGCATGAGTCAGTCAGTGCTGCTGAAGTCGTGATGAGATTTTAGAGTATTAGCAGAGGTGGCTGCTGCTGAAGCAGAGGGCCACCCTGAAGCTGGAGGGTGGAGGACAGGAAGAAGTGTAGTTTTTTCGAGTCAGCAAATAACATTTCAAGTCCACAATACTGATGGACTTTAACTCTCTCACCAAAAAACAAATCTAAATTTTTTGGCAGACATGCAAACATGTGGAGGTGGCACCATTTAAAGTGAGGTGTTTCAGTCACTATTTATCACTTCCAAAACCGAAACCACTATCTTGAGTTTTAGTGTCAGCTGATACCGAACCAACAGAGAAACATTGCTTAAATGACTGAAACTGAAAACATATTTTTTCTAGACACAGATATAAATGAACTGAATTAAATTTTTTATTGATAACTCTGCACCAGTAGCGCACACTTAAATACACCAATAGCTTCACAAGTTTGGTCAGTCTTGTAAAAACTTTACTTTGTTCAGTCAGAGCAATTAGAAGTATAACAATCAATGTTAAAAATAAAGCAACTAAAACTGGCAAAAACAACAGGTTGACTATTTTTACATGTTTGACCAAGACAAACTGCAACAAGCCTTCTTTCAAATAGTTCAGAAAGTAAGAATTGTAAATATAATGTAAAATAAATAATATTCAAGCATAGAATTAGACTGAAAGATCGGCCCTCATGGATTGGGCACTTTGTCACCAACACCTGATCTAGATGGGGTTTTTAAAATATTGGTATCAGTACATCTCTAATGCCATAAACATAATTTTACTGAGGTTGGTACTAAAATTGTTACCAGAAAAAAATGAAGATATTTCTATGATTAGTGAAACACAGTTAACTTATTTCTATACAGTTCACCTTTAAAGAGCTCGTGAGTTATTTGTACCCTGCAGTGTCAATTTCACAGCTCCTGCTCAGAAGCCACCTGAGCTTGTGTTTTTTGTGGAGTTTTATGTACCTCTTTCATGTTTGAAGTCTTGACAATTTGCATTTATGAAACTTAAAATGTCAAAGGCTAGACTGGCGTAAATTCTAAATGTTCTCTGATATTTTGTTTGGACATACTTTACAGAAAATATACATTGACAAGAGTCTCCAGGACTTGTTACTAATTGGAAAGTTTGTATTGGATTATTTTGTTGTGAAAACACCAAATCCAGTATAAAAGTTAGTAAATTGTTCTTGAAATACAAATACAGTAGTTAAATAAGAAAACTGCTCTTCCTCCCCTCATCATGCTCTTCATTCTTCTCTCTTTACCTCTTTCCATTTTCCTTGTATTCTTTTCTTTCTTGTGTTCTTTCTTGTTCCCTTGAATCTACTCTAGTTTCATCTTTTCATTCCTATTTCATATTTAAAGCTAGAAGGAAATAGAAATATCTGCCATATATTTATACAGAGATTTTCAGTTTTTTTTAGCATTTAAAGATGGAAACTTGAGTCAGGAAATGTCTGACTCATTGTTGACTCAATTGTTGACTGCATAGTGTTTTTTATGATTTTGTATTCCTGTGATTTAATGATGTAAAGCATTTTGAACAGCCTTGTTGCTGAAATATGCTATACAAATTATCTTCAGTGATCGAAATGAAAAAAAATTACCCATATCAAAATATATATGTTTTTACTCTGAAAAACTTTGGATAAAATAAGTCATAATATTTAATTTCTTTAATGTAATTACTTTGGGATTACAAGATGTTTTTTTAAAAAGATGAATAAGTATAAAAACTCCATATGTTGATGTAGTTAACATATTCCCTCAGAATATGCTTTTTTTCCAAAACATAAAAATGAATATGATTTCAACAACATTTGAGCTACTTAATTGCATATTGCCACCGTTGTACAAAGTGAGTCTCAACTATTTAACAAGCATGCTTGTGGCAGGAATTGCATTTAATTCCTCAGACACTGACTGATGATGTATAATCGTTGGATGGCTCTGAGGGCTGTCTGCATCATCCTGTCTGTCTGTGTCACTTTACTTGTTTTGATCTAATTGCCAGTCCTTTGAATGAACAATCTGCACTATGTGTTCTTGAACTGATAGGTGGGCTCAGCTGATGTTATTCATCCCAGTAGAACTACAAGAATGAATCAGCAGTGGGCTAAGAAAACAAGTAGTTTGTTCAGCTGTTCCCTCAGAGAAACACAAAGCATATACAGACTGTAAACGTCTTGTTCTTTTCCATAATCAAATGATCTCGTCTAAGATTAGTCAAAAAAATGTCCGGATGTTTTTGAATTTCTTTAATCTTATCAATACTGACTACAAAGACTTTATCATCACTTTGCCAAAACCTTTTTTACCAAGTGATATTTTGGGGGGCAAAAATTGAATTATTTTTGCCATTTTGGGAAGGTAACAAAATAAAATATAAGTGTTGGTCAAAATTAAACATTAGTGCTGAGATACAATAAACATAATCCAGAATCCCCCCCAAAATTTGCAGTATTGTGATAATTATAAAAACATAATAACTTATTTGGGATTATCTTGACTTGTGAATTAAACAGTTGATTGTTTAAAAATTGGCTACACTACCTTTGCACGTTGTCAACTTTATTTGTACAGCACATTTCATCAGCGAGGCAGTTCCATAAAACATAAACAACATTCCATAAAACAACAATCATTCACCAACTGTGAAACAAGCACTGCTTTTTTAACAAGTTAAAACTAGCAAAATAATGAAAACTGAAATTGAAAAAAACATTTTAACTAAATTAATAACATTAATTAATGGAGAAAAACTGGAACTGTATTGTGTGTTTTTAAAACTAGCTAAAACATACTGAAATTATAAATATACTTCATTACTGTGTTTATGAAACTATTAGTCTTTTGAACTGATGTGAGATAGATTTTAGTGTTTCCCACACAAGCAAATGTCAGCAATTTGCAACACTCCATATTCCTCGTGGTGACATTTACGCTAGTCTTCAAAAGGGCAACAGCAAAGATTGGGAGAAAAATCTGAGTCAGTTGGTTGTTCAACAATAATCAAACACATTATTTGAAAACAATATCTTCTGCTAACTAAATATTCTTTAGTTAATGCGTAATACATAATCACTTTAAGAATTTTTAGAATGTAGTATAAGTTCAAGGAGGCCAAAGTAGGACCAAAGAAAAATAAGACTAAAACTGCTACTTTAATAAAAACTAAGCTAAAATGAAACAATATTTAACTTATGAAAACTTACAGGCACACTCTAAATACTAATTGAAACTAACTGAACCAGACAAAAAAGTCACAATAAAATATTAACTAAAATAAAACTAAAACTAAAATGTATTGAAAAGCCCAAAACTATTATAACCCTAGAAACAATCAGTAGAACATTACATTTTTGTCAAATGCCATGATTGTAATAATTAAATATGTTGATCAGTTTTCCATATACTGCTAATCAAGGGCTGCTCTGAATATGTGGGTTTATAACCTTGATTTTAAGGAATGCAGTGTTTCATGTGTACAAAAATGCATAACTTTCAATAAGCAACCCTCTAGCTTTAACTTTCAACACATCTGATACTGTAGCTTAGGTTACTTTACTCATGATACACTCAGCACAGTTGAAGATTCACTCCCCACAGCATGCTAAATGCTTATAACAGCTCCAGCGGCAGGAATACCCGACCTACTTTTGGATTAATTCATTTAATAACTATTTTAACATTTTGGACACTTTCAGACTGCACATAAAGGATTTTTCTTTCATCCCCAGATTGTTAATAAAGACAGTGTCACAGTAAAACCCCGTCCTGACGGAAGCATCCTGACTCACATGTACGATATAAAATAGCAACAGAGGACAAAATATTACACATGAAAGTGGTTAAATATGTCAATACTAAAAATCTTTTTATATTTCAAAATCCAACTGTAGTGTTGATTGAAGCTTTCAGGAACACACATCTTTGTATATTGATGTTTCTAAGTTTGTACACAAAGAGCACTGAAGGAGCATCAGCTTTCCATTTCTTCCTAAATTTGGTTTTTGGCTAAAGTTCTGACATGCCCTTGAAATCCAAAGCTTTAGAGTCATTTACATTTGTTATTTAAATAAAATTTAAAAACCCACCAAGAATCTCTGTTAATATGACATAATGTTTTATGTAGCTCATATAAAGAAAATGAGGCCTAAAAAGTCATCCATCCTCTGTGTGAATTTGAATGACCTTAACATAAAGATGCCAGAGACTCTGGCTCAAATTTAATCAGATCAACTGTCTTTGAAACCATGATTTGCAATTTCTTCATGGAGAGTGTATAATTTGGTGTGACATATTGAAGTAGATGCTTAGAATCTGAGAGGTTGCGGAGATCAAGAGGAAAAAAACCTAAATGAGAAATGCAATCGACAGTAATTACATTGTCGATTAGACGGAGAAGGAATGACACATATGAAGATGGAGGGAGTGACGCGCCGCAGCAGCAAACAGCAGGCGTTGGAATTGCGACAGCAACATTTGATGACGACAGAGGCAGTCCTTATCTGTTAGCTTGCCATCAATTTTTTTTTCTCTCTCTCTGTCTCTCTCTTTCTCTCTCTCTCTTTCGGGTGCTCTGAATGCTCATCTGTCTTTTTTAGCCCCTTGGCTTTCTCCTGGCCTGTTGCTTAGCAACCAAATTCTCCACCACCATGTAACTTGACTGTGACTCACCTGAAGCTGCGCCATCATTGGCCTGCAGCAAACATGGCATGCGCAGACACCTGCATATGAACCCAGTTTGGGTAGTGCCAAACGTGACGACTTAGTCAAAATCTCATGTTTAGCGCAGATCCAGACAGAAGCAACATATAGGGACAGCATTAGTGTTAGTGGAAGAACTTTTTTTTCCACATCAAAATCCATGTCCTTAACTGAGCAGATGCCATCATGTGCACAGTGAGTTGTTCATGTAGATGTAGACTTCTCCAATAAAAGCTGGAGATCACGGTCTGATCTCTGCCATCACCCAGAGGTTGCCAAGAAAGTGGACACACTCATGAGACTTTGAACAATACAGTTGAAATGAAGGATGGCATACTCAGTGGTGAACTCATTTGAAATAATGTTGGTGTTTCCTCCTGGAGATTGTAGGATGGACTTGATCCAGTTTAAAGAAGCTCAATAAATCCATCTGACCCCTTGTTCTTTTCACAGGTTATTCTCACTGGAAAGGCCAGGTGTTAACAGCAGATGAGCTGCATGTTCTTTATGAGGGAATCAAACTGAACAACGTACACCAATATGACTATGTATTAACAGGTGAATGTTTGTCTTTTTACTTTTACTGTGGTGTGTCCATTGCTAGTGATTTTGAAATAAGTTACTAATCAATCCTTAGACAAAATAGTTTTTCATTCAACCTTAACTTGAGGTACACTTAGGATTTATTGTGCCTGTGGAAGAGCTGTGCATTTTATCTATGTTTTTCCCCCTTTCCACTGTTTTAATGTCATATCTTGATGTTGCATACTTTGAGGGGCCTTTCTAAATGCATCGGTCCTTGTTGTTGTGTGGGATGTGTTCAGGGTATACCAGAGACACGTCTTTTTTAGAGATGGTGGTGGACATTGTTCAGGAGCTAAAGAGAGCCAATCCCAATCTGGTTTATGGTGAGCAACAGTTTTCATTTCTTCTGAAAATAAAATTTCTAGCAGAAATCTGATTCTCCTAGAATATACGGTTCTCATTATAAGCGTACATTCTTACATACTTGTATTTAATACAACTGTGTTTAACCAGTAAATATGTATTATTTGTGTGTTTTGTTTATTAGATCATCGTAGGAATACATTTCCAGAACATTGACCTCTTGGACAAATCAGTGCCTAAATATTTGTTTTATGTACCATGTTCCAGCTACTATAATTGCTTTCATCTTGGATGACCATTGGGTTGTGCATTGTTGCCTCAGTTCTCTGTCCCTCATGTAACACCCTTGTCTTTCAGAAGCTTTCTGTATTTCTGAGCTGGTTCTGAATCCAACTCAATTTATTTTAGGATCATTCAGTGAAGCCACTTTTCTGCAGCATAGGTCCACTTTCAATCTTCACCAATGAAGCATCTCATAATCCCAAATAATTATGAGCACAACATCATCTCTTATGACAACATGCTTTTGTGCTATAGAGGAGCCATCCAATGCTCTCTTTGTCATATCTTTCTAAAACGGCTCTTCTGTCGCTCTCCATATTTCTGGATGAGTTCAAATCTTCATTCCTCCCCTCACTGCAGTGTTTTATTTAATGTGGTTGCTCTCAGAGAGTGTGCAGGTCACTGATGGATGCATGTCTCTGTATGTTTATCCTTTCAGTATGTGACCCCGTCCTTGGTGATCATGGATCCATGGTGAGATTGTAGGCGTCTCAATGCAGTAGCAGTAGTGTTTATGTTTTGAATATGTGGGAGAAATTGCTTTTATTTTTCTTGTCAGTTGTGATCTGTATATTTTACTGTTGATGTATCTTCTCGTGTTGCTGCTAATACTATTAGTTAATTTAATAATATTAAATGGATTATTGAATTTTAACCCAGAGTTTATATATATAACTTTGTAAACATATGCTAGTTCAGGACATATGGTTGTCAGTCTGTTTTTAAATGATAAAGTGTTTTTAACTTATATATTTCCTTCCACAGTATGTTCCTCAGAATCTTTATCCGGTCTACAAGAATAAGGTTGTTCCTGTTGCAGACATCATTACTCCTAACCAGTTTGAGGCTGAGTGAGTGCTTTACCTCTTTTGAAACAATATGTTCTGAACTAAAACTTGTATCTTTTTATTTAAAAAATGGAGTCCTCTCTGTTATTACTCAACTTGAGCTAATATAATTCTTATTTTGATTGGAACACAACAAAGAAATTTGTTTATCTGATTTTTTTGGATGACAAAACATTAAGATCAGGGTGATGGCAAAAGGTTTGGGAGCCTAATCACCAAAGAAAAATTGATAAATTATGTGTATATGCATTTGTATATGTGTGTGAGTACAGATACATATGTTTTGTGTGTGCACTCTATGTTAACTGCAGTGTTTAATTCTGGGTCCTGTTTGTTTATTTGTATGTTCTAAACTTTGAACACTTAAAATAAAATATACTAATAAAAAGAAAAAGGAAAATTGATTAATCAAAACTCCAGTAGAAGCTTGCAGAGAACAAAGACATGTCGATAAAGATTTTTCTACCAATTACTTCAACATATCATTTTTTAAATGGACAGTAAATTAAAACAAATTTATTTTTCAAAAATGTTTGCTTCTATCAAAAACAAAACATCGAAGTTGAATGAAAATAATTATGCATGTAATCTGCTGGGAGTATGAATAATAAGTGTTCTAAAATAGATTTGATCCTTTAATGCACAGTTAAGTTAAATATTACTATAGTGCCTTCAGAAATGTGTAGGCTTTAAGAATCTTTTCTTTTTGTATTTGCATACAAAATCTCTACACATATTTGTATTTCTGTGCTCTTTCAGGGCAGCTTTCTTTTGATGTCTCTTTGTTTTATGTCTTGACTTAATCACTTAAGATGTGTTCTGAAGTATTAAATCTGTCTTAGCAAAGAATTCACTGTCCCTTATTTGGAGTGAATTAAAATCAGATTATTTTCATATATCTGATGATGTATGAGGTACATGTTAACTCATGTACCTTCGGCTGTGTTTACATGAGTTAACATGGTGAAAAGAAAGGGAACACTCTCTGGCCTTCATTTCAATTAACTGACCATCCAGAAGCCATTGAATCATTGGGTGCACTTAGTGTTTCATCAACAACTATCAATTTTAACTTAATTTTCTGACTAAAACCAAAGTGATCTTTGTTTTTCTGTAGTTTGAATTAAAACCTGGTAGTCCATGTCATAATTATGTCCTGAAATGTAAATCTTTACTTGAAGGAGGGTGTACTTTCTTTTTCACCATTAAAAAATATATTTAGGTATATGAGAAAGTTGCCACAACCTGTTATGGTTGTTGTGGAAACAGAAGTTTGTTGGATGTAGCTGAAGATCCTCAGAAAATGCATCTGGTCCAGTTTTGTTGTCCTGTTTCTCCCCCTGCTGGTCTTTCAGTTTCACTTCAAACAACTTTGTTTCAAAAAGTTGAATTACATAAAACATTTTAATCAAAACTCAACATTTGGTTTATGAAACAGCTGTTTTTCTGTTTTTATTTGGACTCAGCTAACTTTCTACTCTGTTGTTTTAGATTATTAACAGGGAAAAACATCAGCTCACAGAAGGATGCTGTGGAGGTAATGGATCCAGCTTTCTTAAACTATAAATTTTCTTTTCTTAGCAGGAGTTTCTGATTCATAACTGAACTCTTTTACATTACTGTGTGTTGTTTTGTAGGTGATGGACCTTCTACACGCCATGGGCCCAGACACAGTAGTTATTACTTCCTCTGATCTTCCCCCCAGACTGGGAGACCGCTTTCTCGTTTCACTGGGTAGCCAGCGTCATGGTGGGTGGAACATAATATTCTATTCTGTTCATTTACAAACACGTGTAGAAATTACAATGGTTTACAAAAGTACACACACCCTTTGAATTTCTCCGCAGTTTGCTGGGCAACAGTTTGAGGAAAATGTTTCACAGTTTTCAAAATGTTTTATTAATGAACTTATGAGATTTGGCTTGGAACGTTTAACTGCATATTATATTTCTATCAGCTTTGTACATTTAGAAATAGATTTTATTATGTAAGCCTATCAGCGTTAAGCAGACTACAAACAAAGGCACACCCCAATTTTCATATTTTTATTTTTCAAGTAATGTAGGAAAAATCTAATCTTTTTTAAAAAAAATTTATGCAGAACAACATATATTTACTAATTGAAAAGAAATTTCTCCTACTTATGCTGTAGTTGGTATCTGTCACAAAAACTGTAAGAATATTCAACAAAGTTTATGGTGTAGATGTGGAAAATAGTAAAAAAAAAAAGTTCAAGGGGTGCAAATACTTTTGTGAGGCACTGTCCCATAAGTTGTCTCTCCTCTGCTGCTCAGTTCGTCCAGATGGAAGCAGGACGACACAGAGAGTTCGAATAGAAGTCCCCAAAGTGGACGCCGTCTTTGTAGGAACTGGAGATCTGTTTGCAGCCATGCTGCTTGCATGGACACATCATTACCCCAATGATCTAAAGGTGAACAAACACACACAGAAATGCATAGTCTTTTACACTCAATCCTTTCAAGTCACTAACGGGAATAATTTGTTTCTGTTTCTCTCAGACGGCCTGTGAAAAGACCTTTTCAGTGATGCACCATGTCATCCAGAGGACCATATCTTATGCTCATGGTAAGTTATACACAACTCTTCAGTTTCGATGTGGTGGGACTAATTAATCTCACATATGCTATGTTTCTGGGCTTTACTATTAAGCAAAACTTTGAGTCTCATGCAGACTCAGTCAGTCACTGCGTTCTGTGACTGAAGGCACTTTGTTGGATATTAGTAACTAACTGCTAATATACCCTTGCCAGCTAACAACCTAGCAAACCTTGCTAGCCACCCTAGCTAACCTGTCATCATAGTGAAATCTGTTTCTCCTTTGCCTCACCTTCCTTCCTTCTTTCCCCCATCTCTCCTTCAGAGTTAGCAGGCCCTGGTCGGAGGCCCAGTCCGCCTCAGCTGGAACTGAGGATGGTTCAAAGTAAAGCCGACATAGAAGATCCTGCTATAGTAACGGAGGCCACCATCATATCCTAACATTGACATCCCATAAGACTCACTAACTCCCCCGCCTCTTCACCCCATCGACTTCAAAAATACTGTATCTCAGTAAAAAAACAAAGAAGCCGTTTAACTTCAACATGTTATTATCCAGACTTCTCAAACACTTTAGTATCATAACACCTGCCTCCTGTGATCCAAAAACCTTTATCCCTTTAAGTCCTCAGTGTCGTAACTGTTTAAACCAGAACCTCCCCGACCTGTGACTACAAAGTTGATTTTCCCCAACCCTGTTCTGGAACCAGAGCCATGGATAGACTGAAGCTTTGATCTGAGTGGACTGTATCTGCTTATGCTGACAGTAGCTGTGTTTCCATTACAAATGGGTGTAAAACTTTGTCAGTATTCCGGTAATGTACAAAGAAGACAATTCTGCAGTTGCAGTTTTACCATTAAATAAGAAATGCAATTAAAATCACAAGTGAATAAGTTTGTTCATTAGAAAACATAACATGCCATGATCCTTCAAACACTTTGTTTTTTTTATCGGTTACAACATTGTTGTAACTGCAACAATAATGTTGTTCATTATTTAATTTGAGTGATGCCAAAAAAGCATTTCCATTGCAGTTTTGCGAAATAAATACATTTTGGTACTGTCAAAAAAAAAAAAAAACTCATCTTAGTGCCAAAACCTTTTGTAGCAAATTCTGTTTTTTTTTTTTTTTTTTTTTTTTTTTTTGTTTTTTTTTTTTTGTTTTTGTTTTTGTTTTCATTAAGAAAATTTAGTTTCGAAATGTCAACTCACTCTCAGTGTTGCAGTTATGTGGAGGCTAATCATACAAGCACAAATAATATACAAAGCCTTGCAAAAGTATTCACTGTTTATATATTTGTGCATACCTTTGCAAGGTACTGCTAGGCCCTACAAAATGAGACTTTTTTAAATCAGCTATATATTTATTATCATTCTGATAATACACAATGCATTAAACACCACAAAATCTGATATTTAATCTAGCATTTGATAACAAAAATCATTTAAATAAATTTATATATGTAGCACCAATTCACCACAATGTAATGTAAATTGCATTTGAGTAGAAAAGTAATTTCATTTCAATCACTCATACATTCCAATATACCTCAGTTATCAAACAGTTTTCTAAGCTCAGTTTATTGCTGAAATTAGCTTAAAATGTTTCTGTCTAAGGAAATCCAGCAGATTGTATCAAGTCATTGACTTGCCGTCTTCACTTTGCCTGGATAGACTGACGGTAACAGGAAGACACCTCCAACAGAATCAGAACCTGGCACAGAACCAGGGGTCATCTGCCATGACTGACTGGGAGTTTGAGAAGACAAAGCAGAAAAACAAAAAAACAAAAACAGAAATACTGATGTAGACATTATATTAGACCCATTGCAGACAGGAATAAAGAGGAGTACATTTCCACCAAAAACCTCAGAAATACTGAGATTGCTTACAGAAATTTGCTAGAATAAATTTCTTTGATTAATCTGTTGTAACTTTCTATGTTAAGAAAAATGTAAAAGTTAGTCACAGGCACATTTAGTCAAACACACTCCTGAACCTCTCTGGTGTTCTCTGACTCTGACCACAGTGATTAATCACTCTAGCCATGGCTCTGTCCTCCTTTTACTTTAACCCCTTCTTCCCCAGTCTTACAGCAGTGATGTAATGGTGACCAAGTCTAACCCTCAACATAAAGAAGAAAAAAAACCTGTACAATGTATAGTTGATGTATAGATGTTGTACTATAATTGTATTGGACCATTTGTATGATATCTGATCTGTCTGCTGGACCATTGTGTTAACGCTAATGTACTATAGACCAGATGCACAACAATATCACTAAGCAGACACCATCTGGGCTGGTTGTGGCACAGCCGGACATGTCAAGTCATTGTAACTTCTTAGTAAATGTCCGATAGTTGTAGTGTCAAGTTGAGCTTATTTCATGAAGAGAAAACTGGGCGGTAGAGAGCTGTTTCCAATGCAGTCGGCTTCCATGGTGCCATAACCACCCAACATCATGACGGCCACTTAAAGGCCCAGTTCTGACCCAGAACCTTATATCCTATATCCAACCCTGATCTTCGATATGCTGCCGTTAGCTAAATACATACATTTTGACTCAAATCAATTCTATTTTCTTTAGATTTAACCACTGATAATGTTGCTTTTATGGCCTTGCTTCTTTATTGTATTATTGATGTGTGAGTACAACAATGTTAATCACTGCATCAGCTCAGATGAGGCAGATATAATGAGTCTGCAGAGTTTCCTGGGCGGCTATTTTGCTTGCTGCAGAAGAAACTCAGCTGTCAAGTTATCATCACCAAACAATTTTTCTTGCTCCTGACATCAAGCTGCAATGTGGGATAATCCATTTCTAGTGTTGTAGATTTTGAGCAAGAGATTACGGGATTTCTGATTAATTTGAAACTGAAACATGATGGAGAGGAGCATAGGGAGGGTTCCAAGTAAGAACAATCAGGTTTTGCCAAGAGCCTGAAGCAGATTTTCTTTAGTTGTCCTTATTTTAATGCATCGATATCAATGTGATATATCAATATTCAGTAACAAAATGAGTAAGGACCAAACTTTCTTGTTCAAATTTGATCAGTCAGCTAGTTTTTTTAGGAATGGTAAATTAGTTTGTGTTAGGGTTAAGCTTTAAAATAGTTTTATTAGAAAAGTATACATTAAAAGCAGAGACTTTAGAAAGCTCTTGAAGTCCCACTCAAGGGGATATAAGGTTCTGGGCCGGTTTGTAATTCTGTACTGCTGTTGTGTCTCTATGAAGTGTTCTGTGATACTGCCTTAGGAAACTCAGATCATAACACCACAGCCCTGCTCATTCAGAGAGAGGTGGAGGGGGGAGGGAAGTATGCATGAGTTGTCTTAAATGTCAGTGTGTTTTTTTTTTTTGTTTTTTTAGTTCATGCTCCTTGGTTCTAGCTGAAAGATGTTCTGTCCTGTATTTTTTCTTTTGTTTTTTTTATTTTTTACTTTAAGCTTTAAAACAGGCTTTAGTTTAGGTTTGTTGGGCCCTGAAATTTGACCAGAAGAGCAGAGTGTGAACTTTTATTAAAGAGAAGGAATGGAATTTTGTAGATATAACTGCAAAGCTTTTCCCCCCCTTCTGGTAGCTATATATAATACAATCTGTAACATATAGGATTCTTATAGGGGTACTTGGAGGATGCATAACTAACTACAGGGTACTTCAGGTTTTACATTCCATTAACACCTGTTAAAAGTGTTAGTCATGAGAGTGTTTGTTTTAATGGAAACATCAAGTTAGTCTGGGTTCTTTGATTGTAATATGGACTGGGGATACGTTAAAGCAAATCTTGATGTTCATGGTTGTTGGAGTAAATATGAATAAATGTTTAATTCATACAGTAAAATCTAATGAATTGAATGAATCAAAACTCTATTTCTTTAGCATACAACCCTGATAGTATTCAAGAACAGGACGTGACTGGTTGGTGCACCTCTTGGTGTACCCTGTAAATACACCAAGTTGTGACCAAATGTTGCCTGTAAGCACTCTTCAAGAAGGCTGCAGGTAAATTCTAAGCACAGACAATCATGTTGCCTCATAAAACAGCTTGATACACCTCAATTGAACAATAGCTGTACCATTGGTACACTTTTGGCAAACCAATGTCTCTTTTCTATTGTCAAGTCTCACTGGCCAGTTAATGTTCTGCTTCAGTTGCAGCCCAGATGGGTATGTCTCCTTTGACAGTGTGTGAATATGGGCGGGAAGTTGGTTGATGCTCCAATGATGTTTTGTGTGTGTACCATTGGGCGGCCAGTTTCTCCAACATATCTTGGGATGTATTTGTTTGTTGCCACAATTGATAAAAAGGTTTGAACCTCAAGGTTTTAAATTCCCATTTTGCAACTTGGCCTTTTCGTCAACCACTACAGTCTTGTCATGGATTGGTTGAGAGGAATTTACAGGACCAATCAATGAATGCAGCGTGCTGCCAATCAAAACACTGATATGCGCAATACCCAGCTTGAAGTTGTGGAGAAGGAGCTCATGAGAACCAAATAAGAAGTCACCACATAAAATCCCAGTCCCCCACTGTAAGCAATCCCACCAGTGTTTACCCAGGAGGTACCCTGTAATAACCTTCAATATGAACCCTGTAAGTACCATTGGATGTAATAGACAAAAGAACCTTTTACGTATGGTACCAAGGACTGTTTAAGTGTAAGGATTAAACAGTCCTCACACTTAAAGTAACATAAGAATATTAACTGTAAATAATATGGCAGGTACCATGCACTAGACTATTTATTGTAGTCCTTTTAAAAGTCAATTCCCCTTCTCAATTCATTAACATAAGAAGAAAAACTGAAAATTAAATGCAAGAATCAGATTTTTCTTTTATTTTCTGGAATCCAATTAAAAGTCTTGGCTGTATAAAAGATTGCTTTAAATGGATAATGTTCCCTCTTATTGTTGTTTTTTCATAAACTTAATTGTTTAATTTTAAAAGGATGAAATTGTTTAAATTCTTTAACAATAAGGCTTTTTTAAATTCTGGTTTGATTAATTACTCGAATGCAACGGATTGTTACTTTTTTTTTTATATAAAGTGAGGTGTTTGTTTTAAAGAACAAATTGTTATTTACCTGGTCTAGGGAACAAACAGCTCTTTGACCAACATTAAAATACAATTTTTTCTAAAACTGCAGTAGTTTCTCTTGATGTCATATTGTGCCACTGTAGCAGCAGTTGTTCGATCAGTAACAGACTTCTGTGTCTTTGTGGTTCTGGCCAACCATGTGAGGAATCTCTGCATCCCCTGTGTTCCTGAAGTCTGTCAGCCTTTTGTGTCTTTTATATTAAAGTCTTATGGTGACAGGGTCCAGTGTGTATGAGTGGGAGCTGTTGATATTTAGTTTTGGTTTGGTTTTGGTTTTGCTGCTCCTACCTTTCCCTCTTTGATTCCACTCTGCCAGTTCTTTTTGGTTTCAGAAATGTTCATCTTCATTAAGAGATTATTGACAAACGAGGTGCACTTTTTGAAGTGTCTGATAACTTTGAAAACATGAACTTATAGATCTGAAAACACCTCCCTCTATCCCATCCTACAATACAACTTGAAGGACTGTGGTTCCTGGAAACCAAATAATGACTGTTTAGTTATGTGGTGCAGCCTATTTTTCTCCACTGATTCTTAAAGGAAGTAAAAATGTCTCAGAAACTGCTCCAAATAGACATTTTTGAGCAGATAAAGTAGAACACTAGGGTTCCTACACAGAGGAAATTTTCTTCGAAAATCGTGGGATAAGTATGGAAAGACATTTATATTTCCATACTCTTAAGTGTTTGCCTTCATTTGTTCAGAATTAAATAACGTTATATATTCACCTTTATTTAAATCTGATAAGCAACAACTCTCTCCACTGCAAGAATAATTATTATTCTCTACATATATTCTTGTTTAAATTTTAAAATTCTTGTTTTAATTTGTTGGCTTAGGCAGAAATTTTGAACAAATTTTAACTCAAAGTGCACAAGAAGGTCCTGAATTCAAATCCTGGCCATGGCAC